AGTCCTGCGGTCTGACGAGTTGCCTCTGCATTTTATGTGGACGGCAGCCGTCCCTGAGCTCAGCCTGCAGCAGGTGGCCTTGGGGACCTGTGGGGTGGCAGGGATGGCTTGGGCACCTCGAAGGCAGCGGGGTGCTGGCTGGCCCTGGGCCCAGCCGGAGCTGGCTACCACCCCTGCCACCCAGTGTCCCGCAATTGGGTTTGGCTTTCAGGCGGGAAGAGGGCAGCAGGAGGGGTGGCCGAGGTGTCCAGCAGGTGCGCAGGTTGCTGGGAGTGGTCCTGGCTGTGTGCCCAGGGCTTGATGTGCTAGTTCCTTCTACTGGGTTGGGTGCGTGCTGTGGGCCAGGGCCAGGCACACGGTGTCAGCCAGGTGTCCTGCCTGGCATGGACCCTGCACTGGCCCCAAACAGCCTCCGACAAGTCAGTCTTTGCTACCTTCCCTCCTTTCTACTTGTCCAAAGGCCAGCCCAGGCCACCTCCTCCAGGAAGCCTCCCATCACTTGGTCTTCACTGTCTCCTCTCCTCTGAGTACAGTGTGAACCCTGAGCTGTCGGTGTGCCCCTTCCGTGGTCACTGCTGCGTGGTGGCTCAGGTGTCCCCAGTGAGAGCCAAGTCTTGGTGGCTGTGCCTGTGGTGGGTCCATGCTGTGGCAGGGTCCGTACCGTGGTGGGGGCCATGTCATGGTGGGGTCTGTCCATGGTGGGGGCCATGCCGTGGTGGGGACCGTCGGTGGTGGGGGCTATGCCATAGTGGGGTCCCTCGGTGGTAGGGTCTGTCCGTGGTGGGGTCCATCCATCGTGGGGTCCATCTGTGGTGGGGACCATGCTGTGGTGGGGTCCGTCCGTGGTGGGGTCCATCTGTGGTGGGGACCATGCTGTGGTGGGGACCATGCTGTGGTGGGGTCCGTCCATGGTGGGGTTCGTCTGTGGTGGGGGCCATGCCGTGGTGGGGTCCGTCCATGGTGGGGTCCGTCCATGGTGGGGACCATGCCGTGGTGGGGTCCGTCCATGGTGGGGTCCGTCCGTGGTGGGGGCCATGCCGTGGTGGGGACCGTCGGTGGTGGGGGCTATGCCATAGTGGGGTCCCTCGGTGGTAGGGTCTGTCCGTGGTGGGGTCCATCCGTCGTGGGGTCCATCTGTGGTGGGGACCATGCTGTGGTGGGGTCCGTCCGTGGTGGGGTCCATCCGTGGTGGGGGCCATGCCATGGTGGGGTCCGTCCGTGGTGGGGTCCGTCTGTGGTGGGGTCCGTCCATGGTGGGGTCCGTCCGTGGTGGGCCGTGTCTACATTCCGGGGCTCAGGCGCTCCAAGCTGGACCTGGCCTCGCCCCAGCCTTCGCACGGCTGCAGAGTCTGGGAGCAGAGAGCCACGAGTAGGCCTCGTCACGTGCTCACACACGTGCACCGTGTTCAGGAGGCCCCCAGGCTCTGGGTCTGGCTCACGACAGCGCCTCCCCAGGCAGACCAGGCCTCGGGTCTTCTGGTGCGGGGCTGGGCGCTCCCAGCGGGCCGTTGTGGAAGTGGGGCTCCCCGTTCCCAGCGGCCCAGCCAAGGGCAGCAGCAGGCAGGGATGGAGCTGGGCTCTTGGAAAACCGTGGTTCTAACTTTCCTTCCTTTGACTCAGGGAGCTCAGGCGCGTAATGGGTTTACCATGAGGCCGCAGAGCCACTCGGAGGCCGGGCCAGAGCTCTGCTCCCGCAACGCGTCCGAGGGAGGTGCCGGGCCAACGGTCTGCAGGCCCGTCTCCGCGGAGCCAGGGTGGGCCATGGGGGACCCCAGACCGAAAGCTGGCCCCTGTGCTGGGCCGGGCTCTGGACATCAAGGGTGAAAACAGCCAGGCAGGGCGTCTGTCACCTGGGACCAGAGGTGGCACGAGGGCTCTGGGCTGAGGCCTTGGGTCCCCCGGGGCAGACGGAACAGAACCTGACAGACGCCTCCTTCCAGCACCTTGGAGGCCCCTCTCCAAGCCGCTGGGCGGCCTGTCGGGCTGTCTGATCACTGGCCCTGCGGCTCTCGGGTGGCACCCACACTGCCTTCAAGGCCCACCCACCTGCCCAAACCCGTCACGTGACCTGCCCAACTTCAGTGGGAGGGGAGTGGGTAGGGAGGCATTCCTGCGCCTTCATGGAGGAGGTGTTGGTGAGCACCAAGGCACAGAAGCCACGAGGGGGTGCTGTGCCAAACTCTGCCTCCTGGCCCCAGCTGGCCCCAGGACATGGCGGTTTTGCCCCAGAGATCCCTGTCAGGGGCCTGTGGTGGGATGGGCCTAGCGCTAAGTGGGGGCCGCGGCATCTGGAGGGCGGCATGGGCCCGCGCCCAGCCTGGGTCCTGGCGGAGGGGCCCGTGCCCCCCAGCGGGAAGAGGAAAGCCGGGGCCAGCCTGGCGGGGGCGGGGGAACAGCCGCGCTGCTGACACAGACACCCCACGTTTCTGCATCAGGAAAGCATTTTCCAAACAGCTTCCAGACCCCACTGCCAGGGCCTGGATGCGCTCAGCGCCCCGAGGGAGGCCGTGCGCAGCTGTGGGCACCGTCTGGGCTGCCGGTGGCATTCTGTACTTGGCAGGCTGCTGCCCCTCACGGCCATGCCCGGGTCCCTACACCCGACTGTCTGCTCCTCTAGTCCTGAATGTAACCCTCACTTAGGTGGGGAGACATCGCTGCACCCTAGAACCATGTCCAGCCCACAGTGGGGACACAGGTCCTTGTTGAGGGAGAGGCATGTGTGAGTGAGTGGGTGAGTGCAGAGAGGGGCTGGATGTGGTGGGCACAGAGGAGGCAGCAGCTGGGTCTGGCGAGTGAGCGGCTGGGGGTGTCCGCAGGGCAGGTACTTGGCACTCTGCCAAGGAAGGGTGGGCATCTCAGCTGCAGTGGAAGCTGATTCTCCTGGGGGCCAGGCACCCAGAGGCTGGAAGAGCCAAGATCTGAAGCCAGAACTCCCTTGAAGTCCTTTGCCCAGGGCCCAGCTCAGGTGTCCAGGGCCCTTTGGCAGCTCGGCCTGCGGGAACCCAGTGTTGGGTTCTGGCCGACGGTCCAGGGGTGCCTGCGGCCAGGGACAGCGGGCGAGCAGGAGAAACCGAGGCATCCCTGCTCCTGCAGGCTCCCTGCCTCCGCCCACCCAGGACCCGCTGGGCGCCCTTGTTCCCAGAAGCCGGAAGGAGGTGGCTCAGTGAGGAAGTGCTGTCCCCCTCTGTCCTGGGTGACCTGGGGCAGGTCATTTCTCCTCTGGAAAAGGACCGTTGGAGAATGTCCTGAGCCCCTGTATGCAGGTCCAGGGCACCCTGCCTCCGGGGTCCCTTCTGGGCAGAGTGAGGGTCAGAGAGGAGGGGGGTGCCGGCCGGAGGGTGATGGGCAGCCCTGGGCGTTGCAGAAGCTTCGTGCTGAGGGTGGCACGGGGTGGGACGTCGCGTGGACTCGGGGCTCTCGAGGACCGCCAGCCCAGAAGAGGTGGCGTTTCCCTTGCCCAGGCGAGTCAGAGCATCCGGAAGGCCTCATGCTTCAGGACCCAGCCCTGAACCCCAGATTTACTGGCCGACTTTCTCCTCCCTGGCCCCGGGGGGCATGGTGGCAGGGGACGCACCTGGTCCTGCTTCTCTCTTCCAAGTCTTGTATGTTCCATGGCTTCAGGCCCTGGGCCCTAGCTGGTCTGATCTGGACCTCTGCCCAGTGTACGGATGGGGACACAGGGTCAGTGGGGTCCTGGGACTTGCTCGTGGCATCAGCTATTCAGAGGGCCAGGACTGTCACTCCCAGACAGCCTGCTCCTCCCCGGCCCTGCCTTGTGCTGGGTGCTGGGGACTCGGGTCCCAAGCAGCCCCCGCCCGGGAGGGCCATGGGAGTGAATCCGAGTTGCAGTGCAGGGTGACACAAAAGGGTGGCGCAGAGGAACTTTGTCCCAGCCGCTCTGAGGCGGTGGCAGGCCTGACCGGGCGTCAGGGTGAGGCCTCGGGGGCCAGCGCGGGCTGCAGCCAGTGCTTTCCAGGGCCTGGCTGGACGGGCCCTGGACACCCCCGCTGTGACCCCGCTGGCCCTGGGGCTGTGCCCGTGGGTCAAGTGGGGACCAGGAGTCTGGGGTTCAAGGCGTGTCCATGGCTTTCCCAGCCGGACCCTGGGGCTCACTGTCCCTGCCAGCCAGCCCTGCTGGGCTCTGGCCCTCTCCCGCCCGCTGAGGGTGTGGCAGTCCCTGCCCGGCTGGGGGGGAGGGGGCACAGCCCTGGTCCCTCAGGGCACTTGCTCAGGACTCTCCAGGTGCCTGCCCTGGTCCCTCTGGGCGAGGCCCTGTCTAGTGGAGGGCATGACATGCCAGGCTGGAGGGCTGCGGGCATCTTCACCGCAGGGGTTGCCACTTAAGTGGGTTGGCCCCAGAGGGCCTGCTCTTCCCAACTCTCCCCAAATTTGGTGGAAATAAACCCCCCAGGGGCCTCCCTGTCCAGGGCTTTGCAAGGGTGGCCTGCGTCCCTGCCTCGGTTGCTGTTCCTGGCTGCACCGGGAAACCACGTTCGTGCGCGTGTCTGCTGTGCCTGTCTGCAGGGCTGTGTCTCGGGTGCATGTTTGCACACGTGGGTCTGTGTGTGTGCACATGTGTCTGAGAGCTGGCGTGCGGGTGTCTGTGCGGGGGGCTCGGTCCCAGTGCGCGAACTCGGCGGAGGAATGCAGCGGCGGGCTGCGCGCCCCCGAGCCGGGCGGCAGTGGGGGGCGGCGGGGCGGGGCGGGGCGGGGCGGGGCGGGGCGGGGGCGGGCCCTCCCGCTCCTCGGATTTGGCCTTTACCTGCGGGGGGCGGAGGGAAAGCTGAGAACTTAAAGGCGAGGGGCGGGAAGGCTGGGCGGGCGCGGCTCCCGTGGCGCCGAGCGGAGCCGAGAGGGGCGGCTGCCTGTGCGTGCCTGCCCGAGCCAGAGCCCGAGCCCGAGCCGCGCCGCAGCCCAGCCGGAGCCCAGCCGCAGCCCAGCCCGAGCCGCGCCGGAGCCCAGCCGCAGCCCAGCCGGGAGCCTGAGCCCGGCCCACCGCCATGGAGGTGTCCCAGGGCCGCCGCGGGCTGGCCGCGCTCTGGTGCCTCGGGCTCCTGGGCTGCCTGGCGCGTGTGGCGGGCACGCACTACCGCTACCTCTGGAGGGGCTGCTACCCGTGCCACCTGGGCCAGGTCGGTTATCCCCTGAGCGCCGCCGACGGGAGGCCAGGTGGGTGCCAGGCGGGCCTTGCAGGGGGCGGCGGGGCGGGGGCGCGAGCTGGTGCCCTGCTCCGCCACGCGTGCCTTTTGTTTTCTCTTTTCAAAGTTTGCGCGCAGGGAGGGGGTGGGGTGCTGACAGCCCGAAGGCAGGAGGGAGCGGGCGGGGCCGTGCCCAGTGCCCTGAGTCATCAGACATCCGTCCCTGTCCCCTCCTGCACTGGGCTGGCTGCGGCTGCGACAGCAGAGTGGTCGCTTGACCAGAGGGAGGAAAAACATCCCCTCGCCGTTGCCCATGGGCCCAGCACTGGCAGCTCCGGGGCTCAAGCCAGATGTGGGCTCAAGAGTGAGGCCCCCCCCCCAGCAGGATCCCTCCTTCCAGGGTCCCCAGAGCCTGGGCCCCTGGGGCTGTGTAGATGTGGTAGGTACTGTCCCTCTTCCTCCCCCACCCCCAAGCCTTGGGTGTGAGATCAGCCCAGTGGGCTGCAGGGTAGCTGAGAGGACCGCAGCAGCCCATGGGAAGTGGGTACACCCTGCCCTCTCCCCGAAGTTCAGAGCTGGTACCCATGCCTGGCCAGCCTCCCTACAGGAAGCTCCTGGGAGCTTGGAGCAGGGACCCGAGTGGGGGTGTTGTGTCGGGCTCCTCACCTGGATCCCCAGGCAGCAGGCCCTTCCAGGTCCCTGGTGGGGCACAGGGCTCGCCTGTCCCTGTGAAGCGCAGCTGGTCTTGGGGACAGGGGTCCTGCTAGGCTGTCCCCTGGGCCAGTCCCTGCCAGAGGACACACACAGCCCTGAGCTGCAGGCCCTCGACTGTGGCAGGGTCGTCTGCCTCTCCTGGCTTTGTCACTCGGCCCGCTGGGGGACAGGCTCGGTCCCCACGAGGTCCCAAGGCCAGGCCAGAGCTGTCCCTCCCCTGCGGGTGACACCGAATGCCACAAGACTGTGTAGCCTCCAAAGTGGGGTGGGGCAGGACGGGGCGGGCTTTGGGGAGCCAGGAGGCCCTGCTCTGAGGCCTGCTTGGGCTTGCGCCCCTTGGATAGCGGGGTGCCCTCTGCGGGGTGAGACCCTGTGGCATGTTTTGGGAGCGGGGAGCAGGGCTTGACAACCCCTGAGTGGAACGCTGGCAGGATCTGTTGTCCTGTAAGTATGGGGGCTTCAGAAGGGGCTCGTTTTGGGTGGTTTCTGTTGGGCCGCTGAGCCCTCCCGGCTGTGTGTTCCTGGGCCGGGAGCTGGCGACTGGGTGGCGGTTGGTCGAGATCCCGCGGCTCCCAGAGGCATCGCCAGTCCTCGGCCCGGCAGACACCACGCGGCCAGACAGGCTCCCCGGGGACCAGCCTTGTCGGCACAGTGATGTCAGCGCTCCAGCGTGTGGGGCAGGTCTGGGGGTTGCCAAAGTCCGCAGCCATGCGTGTCAGCTGAGGGCAGCGTGAGGGCCATGGGGACTCCCCCGCAGAGCCCTGGCCCAGCTGTTCCTTCAAGCTGCCCCTCAGGACTCGCCTGCCGCTGCCGGTCCGAGGGCTGCAGCCGGGTGCCGGGTGGCTTCGGCAGCAGAGGCCGGTGCGGGCCGGGGGCTGGAGGGCAGGGCGCTGGGCCTGGACGGGGTGGGTTTCTGCCCCTGACTCTCTGGTCAGCATAGGAGAGAGGAGGCGGCCTGGGTGCCACACTGTCCGGGAGACAGGCCCCACTCCGTGCTGCTGGGGGAGCAAAGTGTTCTCCTTGGTTCCAGAGTCCAAGGTGTCAGTGCCCAGTTGGGGTCCAGGGCTCACCTGGTGCAGGGTGGGAGCCGGGGGACTGTGACTCCTAGGTGCCCTGGGGAGCAGCCCCCGGAGGGGTAGCAGACTCACTGCAGGAGTCGGGGGCCAGGCTGCCATCCCGCTCAGTGTCTGAGCCCGGGGCTCGAGGCTGAGAGGCCTCCGCAGACGAGAGTAACACGCTCTGCGCTCAGCCCTGTGGCTGTCCTGTGGCTGCCCTGTGGGTTCTGGCGATGAGAAGCCAGATCCAGTGTGGACAGGGCCGGCTCCCTCTGGAGGCTGCCGGGGAGCAAGAACCCTGGCTCCCCAGCTCCTGGAGGCCCGCCCTCCATGGCTCTCGGCCCCCCTCCACCTTCAAGGCCAGCAGGGCGGCCTCTCCCATGTCTTTCCCTTGGGTCCTCCTGCCAGCCTCTCGTTAGGACTGTCGGGTGACACTGGGCCCACCTGGACACTGCAGGGTCACCTGGCTCGGGGTCCTTACCTTCATCCCTCCTGCAGAGCCCCTTGCCTTTCGGGGTCAGGACGGGACCTCTTGGGGGACTGCCACTTAGCTGACCACACTCTCCTTAAAGACCACTGGTCCTGGGGCTCCCCGGGTCCCTGGTGCAGGGTAGGCAGCCATGGGGTCGTTGGGGCTGCGAACACCTCTGTTTTGCCATCACACGGCCCACATTGGGGGTGGGGCAGGGTTTCGGTGGTTCATCCTGCTTTGCTTTCTGGGTGACAGTGACTTCTATAAAGGGCCTGGATTGGATCCCAGAACCGGAGAGGACCCCAGCAAGAGGTTGTCTGTCCTGATGCCCCCCCCCCCCCGACAGGCAGGCTTCTGTTACCCAGGAAGGTGAAGGGGGCCTCCGATCCTTCCACCTGGAGCTCCCTGCCGTGTCCAGATGCCCCAGCAGGCTCGCCGTGGTGGCCGGAAGCTGTGGCCAAGCCTCACCACCCCTGCCGGGGCCACTGGCCACGAACCGTGTCTCCTAGCAAGGCAGGCCCCAACTGCCAGGCTGCGCGGCCTCGGGGGCTGGAGGGGCTTGGGGCCGGGGTCAGTGCGCCGACCTGGGCTGAGAAGCTGGGTGTGAGGCGGGTGCTAGTCTGGCCGTCCCTGCAGGCAGCCGGCACTCCGGGAGCGCCGGGTCCCTGGGCAGTAGGTGTGAGCGTGGGGAGGCCGCCCTTAGGGATAGAGGGCTGCGCGCCCTGCCCCCACACCCCCACTTCTCCCCAGACTGTCCAGTCCGTGGGTCCTTGGGGCCTGCAGGCTGCTGGGCGGGCCCCACGGGCAGCTGCTGTCCTGGGCTCGCCGTGTCCTGGACAGCTGTGCAGACCTGCCCGGCAGCTGCTGACGGCCATGGCCCCCGGAGCGGCCGGGTGAGCCCAGGGTGGACGTGGAGTCGCAGCGTCCCTCGGCCTGCTTGCCCGCCCCGCCTCTGGGGCACATCGGTGTCCTCTCCCTGCCTGCCTGCTGGGCACCACCACTCTAGACCCAGAGGCCCAGTGTGCCTCCCCCCCAGGCCACCCACGAGGCCCCTCTGCCTCTGAGCCTTCCCGAGCGCCTGCTGCCCACCTGCCCTGGCCAGCGGGCATGGGTGGGCCTTCTGCCCACTCCCCCAGCTGACTTTCCCATAGAGAGCCCTGGGCCCGGAGACCACCCACCACGCCCTGGTTCCCTCTGTCCCCGAGCCGTTCAGGGTTCTGCCTTTGTGCGGAGGCTCCTTCCTGAAATCACCCGCTTTGCCCTGCGGGTCTCCTCGAGCAGGTGGAGAGGCTGTCCCCTCTCTCTGAGGCAGCCTCGGGGCTCGGGAGGGTCCTGGGGTCTCCCGGAGTGGACACGGCTTGTGCGTGCAGCAGAGGGTCCGGGGGGCCCCCAGCAGAGGCCCTGGGGTTCGTGTGTGTCATTTCTGGAGCCCCGGGCTGGTGGCATGCCTGGGGAGCATAGCCGGGTGGGGAGGCTCGGGACGTCCAGGAGGTCCCCCCATGTGCCCCCTTCGGCACCCTTCTGAGGTCGGCTTGGGTGGCTGTCATTCCAGGTGGGAGCCTGGAGGGCGGCGTTGTCCTGGGGCGCGGGGGAGGGGTGGCGTGGACCCGGTGGGTCACTGAGCAGAATTAGAGGGAAGCTCCGCTCTGCACCACCGGGAAGGATTGTCCACCGGCCAAGGTCTCCCCACGGCGGAGGTCCTGCCCCCGAAATCACAGTTACTCCTGGTGGAGCCGCGCAGCCCGACGTGACCTGCCCGGCCAGGCTCAGGCAGTGGTCAGGGCCTCTGCTGCCCAGGCCGGTCGCCCGATTGCCCCAGACACGGGGCAGATGGACCCTGTGAGGGAACATCGGTGTGTCCGTCTCCCTGCGACAGTGGCGAAGGCACCTCCTGGCAGCCCCCACTCTGGTCTGGCCTGCGGGGCGGGTGCAGTGCCCGCACTCCAGGGCCTCGCTGCTTCTGTTTTGTGTGAGCCGAGGCCTCGTTCCCTCTCCGTGTCTCCTGGCAGGCCGGTCCCTCCAGGGTTCAGCCTCACAGCCTGGGACCTGGGCAGCCTGGCCCCCCTCACTTCCTTCTGCTGCAGCTGCTGCCTGGGCTCCCCTGGGGCCTCCAGCCCTGGGGAGGGTCTTCCCACCCCTCGGCTCCCCGCTTCAGCCACCGCGTGCCGACCTCTGCTCCCCACGTTGGTCCGGCTGACCCCACAGGCCGGGTCCTGCTCTGCCCGCCAGGTGTGGGGACAGGCCCCACCTCTCTCCTCTCTGCCAGGGTGTGGGTGAGGGCTGGGGAGGGGCTGCTGTCGTGGCCTGAGAAGGAGGGTCTCGGGTCTGGGTCCTGGCACCCGGGCGGGTACTGGCTGCTAACCCTCCGCCCCGTGCCCCTCCCAGATGTGGATGAGTGCCAGGCGCACAACGGCGGCTGCCATCACAGGTGTGTGAACACGCCCGGCTCCTACCTCTGCGAGTGCAAGTCCGGCTTCCGGCTCCACGCGGACGGCAGGACCTGCTTGGGTAAGTGCCGACTCCCTGCCCGGCTCCGGCCACGGCGGCCCCCAGCCTCCTGGGTGCGCCCAGGTCTGGGCCAGGGCCAGGGCCCCGCTCCTGGGCTGTCTCCGTGACGGTGCTGGTACAGGGGCCGCGCGGGAGGCCTGTCCCGTGAGAGAGCCGAGGCTCGAGCCCCAGAAGAAACAGGTCCCGAGGGCCCAACTCCCATGCCGAGGCTGGACCCTGGGACCCTAGCCTCGGACAGTCTGCAGCCGAACCTGAATCAGGCCGGGCCGCCCAGGTCTTCTCCCGTGGGTGGGGGCGTGGCTCTCGTGACTTGGGGAGAGCGTCCTGTCAATAGCCCCCTGTTACAGAAGCCCAGGGGGAGGGTCAGCGGGACCCAGGCTGGCAGTGGGAGGCGGGTGGGGGGCCTGGAGGGGGCAGGGCAGCGTGAGGTCACTCCTGGTCTGCAGAGCTGGGCCTCCGGGCCCCAGGAGCCTGGGGGGCGGGCTGTGGCAGGCAGAGGTAACTGAACAGTGGGATTCGCCCCTTGTCCCTCTGCGGGCTCTTTGCCTTGGGGAATGGATGGCGCCCAGGACACAGACGGTGGCCCCTGCCGGTTCAGGAGGGTTACAAGGGAGAGGAGGGGTGAAAAGGGGAGAGAGAGCACCAGGCACCCTGTGGGCTCGAGGGTGGAGGGGCTGGAGGCCAGGAGTCTGGTGCTGAGCAGCCCAGACTCATCCCCCCGCCCCTCCCCCCGGCTGGCTCTGAACTCAGGTACTTCAGGTGCAGAGTGGACCCCTCCCTGCTGGCTACTGTCTGCGAGGCCCCATGGGGGCTGTTCTCTGGGGGCTGGGGTGGGATGCCCCTTCTTTCCGCGGTGGCTCCGAAGGCCTGCTTCCTGCGTGCCTGGCGGCTTTGGGGCAGGCGGCCTGCCAGCCCCGGGGGGCCCCCCCAGCACACACTCACATGTCCAGGCTGCTGCTGGGGAGCGAGGCAGCTGCCCATAAAGTTTCTCTGGGTCGGAAAGTGGAAACAGATGCAGGAATGCTGTGGTGTGCTTCAGCCCGAACGACGGGGGTGCAGCCCCCAGCTGCTGCCCGCCGGGGGGGGGCGGCTTCTGGGAGTCCGTGGCCACGGGCTCTGTCCTCCGGGCCCCCGGTCTCCCTGGATGTCCTCCCCGCACCCTTCCTGGGGCAGGTTCTCCTTGGAACCTGGCTGGGCCTGGTGGACTTCCGCTGGCTAGGACAACCTCCCGCCTCCCTCTTCTCCCCATCTGTGCGATGGTGGCCTTCACGGAGATGGGGTGATGGGTAAACAGCATGCAAAGGGAGGGTGTCCTTCAGGACTTTGGAGGGACCCATAGTGGCTTCTAAGAGTGGCATCAAGCTCTTGGCTTGGGGAAGGGGTGGCCCTCAGCCTTGCCCCCCAGCCCATCCCTCCCATTGCTACTGGGGTACCTCCCTGTAGCCTCCCTCACAGACGCCTGCATCGGGGCCCCATATGTCTTGATTTGTGGTACTGGCTTGTTTTAAAGGCTCTTCTGGGGTCTGATGCCAGGGCCCCTGCGTCTGGTCTACACCATCTGGCAAGGGGCTGCTGGGACCTCACCACCCCACCTCTGGGCACCCAGGCTGCATGGTGTGCCCCAGGCACTGGTGTCCAGCTCCCGGCCACTCCCAGAGGTGGGCGCAGGTGAGACCCCTGCACAGCGGAGCTCGACGTTCTTTCCCTGAGGCTGTTTGGCCTAAGTCCCTCACTTTCTCTCTCACGACTGCAGCCCCCAGCAGGAAATGTGCAGTGTGTCTGCACCCCCACACCCCCACGTAACCCCCACACCCACGCACACCCACGCACCCTGGCTGCTGGCAGATGCCCTGTGTCTGGAACTCCGGGAGCTGACACCTTGCCGGCGGGCTGGCCCCCAGGTCTCCTGGGAGTGTCTGGGATTGGTGTGGTTTTGTCAGCCTGGGTCCTCGGGGAGCTGCCTTCCCTGTGGGGCCTGGGCTTTGCCGAGAAGTCTCAGGGTGGATGGGGGTCTCCTGGGGGCGTCATCCCAGGCACAGCAGGGAAACTTTGCTCTAGGGATACTCACCCTTCTCGCTAATGTGGGTGTCTGGTTGTCAGGGACCAGCCCGGCTGCAGCGGCCCTGACATGCTGGCCAGAGGGGGAGGGGTGGCCAAGCATCTCAGTCCCCACACGAGCTTCCAGGTGGCCCTGTGGCCTGCCGCAGGGCCTGTCTTTGGCGCTTCTCGTGGGGACTGGGGAGCAGGGCCGTTGGCAGGCGTGCAGTCTGTGGTTTGGGGCTGGTGCCACCCACGCTCATGTCCCTGGAATGTGGGCGCGGGCGGCCGTTTACAGCGCTGCGAGTGGATTATGTCCCCATGTGGTGCTGAGGTCCCCTCCAGAGGTGGGGGATGGGGCAGGACCCACAGGGCTGAACAGTAGGTGACCCGTGAGCTGCCTGGGGGCCCAGGGGAGTGGACAGAGCCCACGTGGTTGGCTCCTCCTGGCCGAGCCGGCAGACCACCCCTTCCTGACCAGCTGAGGGCTTCCAAGAAGGAAGGGTTGAGGATGGCTGCTGACCACATGTGGGGGAGGCTCTCTGCACCTAGAAACTGAGCCAGTTGGAGGGTAGTCATTACAAAACCCCACGAAGCCATCCCCGAAACCACCAGCTGGCTGGAGCCTGCAGCAGAGGGAGCTGGTGGGCTGGCCCGCCGTTGACAGGCCTGCCCCCCCCCCCCCCCCCGGCCAGCCACCCCAGCACAGCCCCTTAGCTGACCAGCTCAGGTTGGCCCATGTACCAGGCCTAGGGGCCAGGACCTTGCCAGTGGAGCCGCCCAGGAGGTTGGCCATTCATAGCCCCCACCTGCCACTTCCTACATAGCACCCTGGTGCACTTGACACTGGGCTCCAGCCTGAATCTGTGCCCAGGTCTCTGGTGCTGCCACCTGCAACCCCAAGAGAGGAGACCTTCTGACACTTGTAGGTGCCTAGTTCCTTGCCCAGGTGAGGTCCCGGCACCTTGCTAATCTCCAGGCCTCACTCCTGAAGCTCCTGGTTAGGGCGGCCCCTGCTGGCCGCAGGTGGAAGTGCAGCCCAGCTCTATTAGAACCCTCAATCCCCTGGCTGAAGCCACATGCCCTGGAATGTGCAAGCTGGGGAATGAGGGTGTATCAGTCAGCCAGGATGCTGTGACAAATACCACAGACTAGGGACTTAAACAGCAGATATTTATTTCTCTCCGTTATGGAGGCTGTAAGTCCCAGATCCAGATGCCAGCTGATTCGGTCCTGGATGAGAGCCCCCTTCCCGCTTGCCCCTCTGGCTGTGTCCTCATATGGCAGAAAGGGAGACAGAGAGAGATCTCATGTCCCTTCTTATGAGGACACAAATCCTACTGGATCAGGGTCCTGCCCTTATGACCTCATTTAACCTTAAGTACCTCCACAAAAGTCATACCTCCAAACACAGTCACTTTGGGGGTTGAATTTTATTTTTTATTAATTTATTTTTGTTACAAATGTTTCTCCTTTTCCCTCCATTGACCCCCTCCTCCTGATCCCGCCCCCACACCCGTCCCCAGCTTTGTTGTCTATGTCCATGGTTCTGCATACATGCATATAAAAGTTCTGTGGTTTATCTCTTCCCTCCCCTTCCCCCAGACCCCCTTCTGAGGTTTGTCAGTCTGTACCCTACTTCTATATCTCTGAGTCTGTTTTGTTTGTCAGTTTGTTTTGTTCATTATATTCCACAAATAAGTGAGATCATGTGATACTTGTCTTTCTCTGATTGGCTTGTTTCACTTAGGATGATACTCTCCAGGTCCCTCCTTGTCATCTCAAAAGATGAGAGATCTTTCTTTCTTACAGCTGTGTAGTATTCCATTGAGTACACGTACCACAGCTTTTCAATCCACTCGTCTATTGATGGACACTTGGGCTGTTTCCAGATCTTAGTTATTGTAAATAGTGCTGCTATGAACATAGGGGTGCATATATTCTTTCTGATTGGGGTTTCAAAATTCTTAGGATATAGTCCTAGAAGTGGGATCACTGGGTCAAATGGTCATTCCATTTTTAACTTTTTGAGGAAACACCATGTTGTCTCCCACAGTGGCTGCACCAGTCTGCATTCCCACCAGCAGTGTGCTAGAATTCGGGGGTTGAATTTTAGGGTGACGTAAACATTCAGCCTATTGGGGTGGTGGAGCCTTCTACATTTTCATCTTTTCTTTTTAAAAAAATATATTTTTATTGATTTTTCTAGAGAGAGGGAGAGGGGGAGAGAGAGAAACACTGATACGAGAGAGAAACATCGCTTGGCTGCCTCTCGTACGCACCTGGACCAGGACCGAACCTGCAACCTGGGCATGTGCCCTGACCGGGAATTGAACTGGTGACCTTTCAGTGCACAGGACCACACTGACCCCCTGAGCCAGGGCCCCTCCCATCCTCTGCTAAGCTCTCAGCTTCAGGTCTGGGTGTGGTCTTGATTTGCAGGACTGCCCAGGCAGGGTCACTGGCACAGGGGTGACTCAGGGGACCTGGAAACTTCTGGACACTTGTCACACAGTGACTGGCCCTTCCCTGCTCCACAGCCCGGCACCTGAGAAAACTGTGCCTGGTTCAGCTTCCCGGGAAACCGGCTCAGGCCCTGCAAGGCGGCACCGGGCCCGGCTGCCTTTGGTGTGCTGCTGAGAGGCATGTGGATGTTGGAATGTGTGCAGCAGAGGGGAGAGGTGGGCTGGGGGGTACGAGGCTGCACCCACCTGCCTGTGACTCCTCCCCCGTGGGCTCTGGTGGGCTCCATGCCAGACTGCCTCTAGGCCTGTGCCAGGGCTCTGCCCATCTGGACGGGCTCCTTCCCAGCCCGGCCACAGCTCCTGGGGTCCTCCTCATGGCCGAGCGCCTGCCGCGCAGGGCCCTGCCCCGGGCTCCAAGGCCTGTCTCTGTGAGACCACCCGCCCCGCCAGGAGTTCTGGGTCATTCCGAGTCCCCAGCAGGGTCGGTGTTGGGAGCACAGAACCCCAGGAGGGGGCTGGCCAGGCCGTGCTTGGAGCCCCGGAGTGATGGGGTGGTTTGAACAGAGCTGTGCCAGGTGAGGCGGGCAGGTCTCGGGGGGTCAGCGCAGAGTCGGGGGTAGGTGGGTGGGACGGAGGCTCAGGGGCTGACCCCGCCGTGACATGGTGGCAAGATGGTGGCTGCCCTGCGGGCCTCAGTCCTGCCTCATGTCTCCTCTGCTTCTCGCCCCACATGTGCCAGGCCAGGTAGGATCAGGAGACAAAGCTTCTTCTGCCACCCCTGGGCACCTTCCCCCGCCCCAGGGCTGGCTTGGCCCCAGGAGGGGACCCTCAGCTCAGGATCCCCGCCACGCGCCCCATGTGGGGAGACGGCCATGTCTTGAGTGCGTGTTTGGCTGTTTTCAAACGCACTTGCTTTGGAGGAAGCTTTGCTTTAGGCAGACGGAGCGGCTGCAGCCTCCTCCGAGCCCTGAGGTCACTCAGGTGGTCCGCGCATGGACGTCTCGTGGTGCCAGGGGTGTGCACCTGGCTCTCACTCTCACGGGGGCACCTTGGCCTGAAGTCCTGTCGTCCCCGGTCCCAGTGTTTCAGTAGCAGGACTCAGGTTTGCCGCCGGGACAGACAACGTTGCATTCTTGAGGTTTTGCTCCAGAGTTCCGGGCCGATGCTCCCCAAACCATGAGGCCACTGTCAGAGACCCAGTGCCCACCTCGGGCACCCAGCCTCGCTCAGCGTGGCCCAGGCCAGCCCAGCCCATCCACCTAGTGCGCGGCCCCACTCGGCCCGTCTGCCCCGTGGACCCTCACCCTGCAGGCTCCTGGGTGAAAGTGGACCTCTGTGGGCCCGGGACTGGGCTCTGTGGCCTTGCCTTCTGCTGTCCCCACGGCCTCCGGAGGAGTGGGGACAGAGTGAGCTCAGGTTGCGTGTGGGGTGGGGGAGGAGGTGCGCCGGTCGTCAAGAACCAGAGGCTCAGCCTGCGGGCACGGCAGCTGGCCACGGCCATCTCACGCCTGCCCCTCTGCCCTGACTGGATGACCAAGGTGGTGGAATGTCTTGGCCTCCACCACCCTTTGCTGGCCCGCTGCCTCCTCCAGGGAGCCTTCCGGCCTGCTCTGCCTCTGAGCCCTGGACCTTGGCTCTCAGCAGGGTGCTGGGTGGTGCCCGGCTGCCGCGGACAGGCTGTCGGCTCTGCAGGCCTCTGTGCCCGGTCCTCGGGAGCTGTGCTCGGAGGACCAGAGGTGGACTGTGGCCCTGCGTGCTCTGTGTGGGCTGAGAGGCAAGGCCCTGCGGGGGGACCAGCTAGGGGCAGCGAGGCCCTGCCGAAGCCCCCACTTCTGGGATGGAGGTGGAAAGGGGGCTCAGAGGGGCCCTGAGGTCCTGGGCCACCACCTGCTCCTCGGGGCCTCGCGGTTTGCTGTCCTCCTGGGCTGATCTGGCTGCTCTCTGTGTCCCCAGCCATCAGCTCCTGTGCCGTGGGCAACGGTGGCTGTGAGCACAACTGTGTCCAGCTCACGGTGACCCGGCACCGCTGCCAGTGCCGGCCCGGGTTCCAGCTGCAGGAGGACGGCCAGCGCTGCGTCCGTGAGTGCACCTGTCCTGGAGGGTGCGGGCCTGTGTGTGCACCTGCCCTGGGGGGTGTGGGCCTGTGTGTGCACCTGCCCTGGGGGGTGCGGGCCTGTGTGTGCACCTGCCCTGGGGGGTGCGGGCCTGTGTGTGTGCACCTGTCCTGGGGGGTGCGGGCCTGTGTGTGCACCTGTCCTGGGGGGTGCGGGCCTGTGTGTGTATGCACCCGTCCTGGGGGGTGCGGGCCTGTGTGTGTGCACCTGTCCTGGGGGGTGCGGGCCTGTGTGTGTGCACCTGTCCTGGGGGGTGCAGGCCTGTGTGTGTGTGCACCTGCCCTGGGGGGTGCGGGCCTGTGTGTGTGCACCTGTCCTGGGGGGTGCAGGCCTGTGTGTGCACCTGTCCTGGGGGGTGCGGGCCTGTGTGTGTGCACCTGTCCTGGGGGGTGCAGGCCTGTGTGTGTGTGCACCTGCCCTGGAGGGTGAGGGCCTGTGTGTGCACCTGCCCTGGAGGGTGCAGGCCTGTGTGTGCACCTGCCCTGGGGGTGCGGGCCTGTGTGTGCACCTGCCCTGGGGGTGCGGGCCTGTGTGTGCACCTGCCCTGGGGGTGCGGGCCTGTGTGTGCACCTGCCCTGGGGGGTGTGGGCCTGTGTGTGCACCTGCCCTGGGGGGTGTGGGCCTGTGTGTGTGCACCTGCCCTGGGGGGTGCGGGCCTGTGTGTGTGCACCTGCCCTGGGGGGTGCAGGCCTGTGTGTGTGTGCACCTGCCCTGGGGGGGGTGGGCCTGTGTGTGCACCTGCCCTGGGGGGTGCAGGCCTGTGTGTGTGCACCTGTCCTGGAGGGTGCGGGCCTGTGTGTGCACCTGCCCTGGGGGGTGTGGGCCTGTGTGTGCACCTGCCCTGGGGGGTGTGGGCCTGTGTGTGTGCACCTGCCCTGGGGGGTGCGGGCCTGTGTGTGTGCACCTGCCCTGGGGGGTGCAGGCCTGTGTGTGTGTGCACCTGCCCTGGGGGGTGTGGGCCTGTGTGTGCACCTGCCCTGGAGGGTGCGGGCCTGTGTGTGCACCTGTCCTGGAGGGTGAGGGCCTGTGTGTGCACCTGCCCTGGAGGGTGCAGGCCTGTGTGTGCACCTGCCCTGGGGGTGCGGGCCTGTGTGTGCACCTGCCCTGGGGGTGCGGGCCTGTGTGTGCACCTGCCCTGGGGGTGCGGGCCTGTGTGTGCACCTGCCCTGGGGGGTGTGGGCCTGTATGTGTGCACCTGCCCTGGGGGGTGCGGGCCTGTGTGTGTGCACCTGCCCTGGGGGGTGCAGGCCTGTGTGTGTGTGCACCTGTCCTGGGGGGTGTGGGCCTGTGTGTGCACCTGCCCTGGGGGGTGTGGGCCTGTGTGTGTGCACCTGCCCTGGAGGGTGCGGGCCTGTGTGTGCACCTGCCCTGGAGGGTACGGGCCTGTGTGTGCACCTGCCCTGGGGGGTGCGGGCCTGTGTGTGCACCTGCCCTGGAGGGTGCGGGCCTGTGTGTGCACCTGCCCTGGAGGGTGCGGGCCTGTGTGTGTGCACCTGTCCTGGAGGGTACGGGCCTGTGTGTGTGCACCTGCCCTGGGGGGTGCGGGCCTGTGTGTGCACCTGCCCTGGAGGGTGCGGGCCTGTGTGTGCACCTGCCCTGGGGGGTGCGGGCCTGTGTGTGCACCTGTCCTGAGGGGTGCGGGCCTGTGTGTGTGCACCTGCCCTGGGGGGTGCGGGCCTGTGTGTGCACCTGTCCTGAGGGGTGCGGGCCTGTGTGTGTGCACCTGCCCTGGGGGGTGCGGGCCTGTGTGTGCACCTGTCCTGAGGGGTACAGGCCTGTGTGTGTGCACCTGCCCTGGGGGGTGCGGGCCTGTGTGAGTGCACCTGCCCTGGAGCGTGTGGGCCTGTGTGTGCACCTGTCCTGAGGGGTGCGGGCCTGTGTGTGTGCACCTGCCCTGGGGGGTGCGGGCCTGTGTGTGCACCTGCCCTGGGGGGTGTGGGCCTGTGTGTGCACCTGCCCTGGGGGTGCGGGCCTGTGTGTGCACCTGCCCTGGGGGGTGTGGGCCTGTGTGTGCACCTGCCCTGGGGGGTGTGGGCCTGTGTGTGTGCACCTGCCCTGGGGGGTGTGGGCCTGTGTGTGCACCTGCCCTGGGGGTGCGGGCCTGTGTGTGCACCTGCCCTGGGGGGTGTGGGCCTGTGTGTGCACCTGCCCTGGGGGGTGTGGGCCTCTGTGTGCACCTGCCCTGGGGAGTATGGGCCTGTGTGTGTGCACCTGCCCTGGGGGGTGCGGGCCTGTGTGTGTGCACCTGCCCTGGGGGGTGCGGGCCTGTGTGTGTGTGCACCCGTCCTGGGGGGTGCGGGTCTGTGTGTGTGCACCTGTCCTGGGGGGTGCAGGCCTGGGTGTGTGTGTGCACCTGTCCTGGGGGGGTTGGGGTACAGCCCTGTGTCCGTGAGTGTGCACCAGCCCTAGGGGTGGAGGGTGCAGCTGGGACCCCCTGAACCCCATCCTGCATGCACCCGCAGACCCGCCCAGAAGCCACCTGAGCCTGGGGCAGAGGCAGGCAGCACCTTCCTGCTCGGCTTGGGGCTGGACGGGGCCTCATGGGAGCCAGGAGTGGCTTGGCGGCTGAGGTGCAGGGGTGGAGGCATCGCTCAGCCCCCAGTGTGCTCTGGGATCACACGTTGGTGGGGGCAGGAAGCTCAGGACAGGAGCACCCTGCATGGTGCTCAGTTCTGAGACCCACCCTGGGCCCAATGAGACACGTGGGCCCCAGGCCCTGGCCCTGGGCTGGAGCAGGAAGGCCCCTGGCACCTCGTCCTGCGGCCGTGGGCGGCCTATCAGGGAAACAGGGCTTTGCTGGTGGAGAAGGTGGGGTGGGCCCAGGGTGCCCCTGAGATGTGGAAATGGGGGCAGGGTGGAGTAGATGCTGAGACAGGGCTTCCCTGCCCCACCTGGACTCTCGGGTTCCAGGCCAGGGGTGAGTACGGGTGGCTGAGGGGCCAGGCCAGCAGGGGTGCAGTGTGGCAGGGGTCATGGTACGGGGTGGGGCTGCAGGCATGGGGCCTGGGGGGGTGCGGGCATAGGGCCATGGGGGCTGCCGGGCATGGGGCCGGGGGGGGGTTTGGGCAAGGGGCCGGGGGGGCTTCGGCCATGGGGCCGGGGGGGCTGCAGGCATGCTGGCTCCCACAAGGAGAGGTTTGGGCGAAGCTGTCTTCTCGGGGGTGTCCCGGGGCTCCCACATCTGAGAGGAGGGAGACTCACTGGCCCGCCTGTCAGCCTGGAGCAGGAGGGTCGAGAACCCCTGGGGCAGGAAGCTTGACTCCTCGGGAGTCCCCACTCCCCACCCCCTCTCTCCCTCGGCCTCCACTCCTCCGGGGGTGACCGCAGGCAGAAACCCGTGTGCGGACCGGAACGGCGGCTGCATGCACACCTGTCGGGCGCTGCGGGGCCTCGCCCACTGTGAGTGCCAGGCGGGCTACCAGCTGGCAGCCGACCGGAAGGCCTGTGAAGGTGAGACGCTCCCCCGGGCCGGTCCCACTGGGCCTGCCTGGCTGCACCGGCCTCCTGGGCACAGGGCCGGCCCGGGGACCGCGGGCACCCCCCACGGGCTGCTCCAGCCTCAGCCCCATTTGGGCAGCACTGGGTAGGCTCCAGGCCGTGTCTTTGTTTGTAACTGTTCCTGGTGTCGCCGGAGCAAGGTGTGCCCTTCAGACCAACAGGGGACGAGGAAGGGGAGGCTCCCCGAGCCCAGGTGGCCGCTCATGGGGGTCTCCATGTTGGTTTTGTTGACCTGCTGGGCGCCACCTTCTGAACACGCCCCTCACCCCGGCTGCGGGCCCCCCGAGGGCGCCGCTTGGTTTGGTCACCCCTCCCAGGTGTCCCACTCCCCGTGACACGCGGCTCTGCAGGAGCAGTGTCGGGAGGGTCTGCCCGTCCTGCCGGAGGGCTGTCAGAGGGAGGGGCCGTGGGTGTGGAAGCCCTGTGGTCCCCGCGTCTCCAACCCCAGGAAGGGGGGTTCAGGCATCTGTCCGTGTCCCTCTGGGTGGGGTGGCCTGGCAGGCTCAGCAGGACACGGGACGAGCGTCGACTTCTTCATCCTGAGGAGTTGCGGGCGCTTGGCCAAGACGGCGGGGAGGCCCTGGGGCTCGGGTCCTGATGGCCGGGCAGCAGGGGGCGCTCTCAACCGCGCCCTCCCTGCCCTGGTGCTCAGAGGAGCCAGCTGGGCCTGGGGCCACAGATGAGAGGGCAGGAGAGGTTGTGGGTGGCCCCGTCCTGGCACAAGGGGCCTGAACCCTGACCCATGGCGGGGGGCCCCTCCACACGAAGGTGCCACCTTGGGGGGGGGGTGTCCCCCAGGCCAGTGCCCAGAGCCCTCCCCCTTGATCTGTCCCATCCAGATGTGGACGAGTGTGCCACGGGGCTGGCCCAGTGTGCCCACGGCTGCCTCAACACTCGAGGGTCCTTCAAGTGTGTGTGCCACGCAGGCTACGAACTGGGGGCCGACGGTCGTCAGTGCTACAGTGAGTGGGCGGTGGCTGGCCGGTGCGGGGATCCCGAGTGTGGAGCTGCCTGGGGACAGCAGCTCGGCTCCCCGGCCCCCACAGGCCGCCAGCTTGCTCTGGCCAAGCTTCCTCGTCAACCGAGGGCAGTGCTGGGCGTGGGGCATGGAGGTGGGCCTGGGAGGGCAGGGGCGGCTGGGGAGGGGAGGAGGCAGCAGGAGGGCGGGGGTCCAGAGCCCGGCCTGCCCGGGAGCCCCATGCCGCCTGCTTCCCAGCAGAGTGGGCCTGGGGGCCCCTGGCCGGCTGCTGGGTCAGGGCAAATGGGGATCTGGGGGGGGGGCGTCACCCAGACCCTGTGCCATGTCCTGAGGTGGGTCTCGTCTCAGGGATCGAGATGGAAATAGTGAACAGCTGTGAGGCCAACAACGGCGGCTGCTCACACAGCTGCAGCCACAGCAGCTCGGGGCCCCTGTGCACCTGTCCCCGCGGCTACGAGCTGGATGCGGATCAGAAGACGTGCATTGGTGCGCACTGGCGCCTCCCACGCCCACGCCAGGCCAGGGGCGCCGCTGCTCGGCCTGACACGGGAGTCCCCTTGTCACACCCCGAGCTCCCTCTGCCCCAGGCCAGGGGCGCCGCTGCTCGGCCTGACACGGGAGTCCCCTTGTCACACCCCGAGCTCCCTCTGCCCCAGGCCAGGGGCGCCGCTGCTCGGCCTGACACGGGAGTCCCCTTGTCACACCCCGAGCTCCCTCTGCCCCAGACCAGGGGCGCCGCTGCTCCTCCTGACATGGAGTCCCCTTGTCACACCCTGAGCTCCCTCTGCCCCAGACCAGGGGCGCCGCTGCTCCTCCTGACACGGAGTCCCCTTGTCACACCCCGAGCTCCCTCTGCCCCAGGCCAGGGGCGCCGCTGCTCCTCCTGACACGGGAGTCCCCTTGTCACACCCCGAGCTCCCTCTGCCCCAGGCCAGGGGCGCCGCTGCTCCTCCTGACACGGGAGTCCCCTTGTCACACCCCGAGCTCCCTCTGCCCCAGGCCAGGGGCGCCGCTGCTCCGCCTGACACGGAGTCCCCTTGTCACACCCCGAGCTCCCTCTGCCCCAGGCCAGGGGCGCCGCTGCTCCTCCTGACACGGGAGTCCCCTTGTCACACCCCGAGCTCCCTCTGCCCCAGGCCAGGGGCGCCGCTGCTCCGCCTGACACGGAGTCCCCTTGTCACACCCTGAGTTCCCTCTGCCCCAGGCCCGTGGGGCAGTCCAGGGGTGTCACTGGGAGGAACACCCCAAACGCTGCGGTGTGTGAGGGTCCTGTCCCCACAGGGAGACCCCGCCTGCACGGTGGACTCCCACCCCCCGCGGCCTAACGTCCGTCCTGTGGGCATCCGAGGGCAGCACCAGGAGCGGCGTGATGCCTGTGGGTGCATGCTCGGGTGGGCGTGGGCTGATGCCCGCCGCCGCGCCCAAGTGGCAGCAGGTGCTGTGTGTGCCCGCAGACGTTGACGACTGTGCCGACTCCCCGTGCTGCCAGCAGGTCTGCACCAACAGCCCGGGTGGTTACGAGTGCAGCTGCTACGCCGGCTACCGGCTCAGCCCCGACGGCTGCGGGTGCGAGGGTGAGCGGCGCCCTGAGGAGGGCACGGGGTTGGCCTGCGCTCTGCCTGGGCCTCGGCGGGGCCGTGCGGACCTGTCGCGGGCTCCCAGACCTGTGGTCTCACGGGGAGGGGGGCGCACACCCCTGGCTGCTCCCCGCCCAGCTGCCCTCGGGCAGGGCGTCCACCAGCACTCTGGGCCTGGGGACGGGGGCAGGGGGTGGCAGGGGCCGCCCCATCCGTGACCCCTGGAGGCCAGGCCCCAGCAGCCCGCTGTGCCTGCAGACGTGGACGAGTGCCTGTCTGGCCGTGGCGGCTGTGACCACCGCTGCACCAACCTGGCCGGCTCCTTCCAGTGCTCCTGTGAGGCCGGCTTCCGGCTGGATGATGACCGCAGAGGCTGCACCTGTGAGCCTGCGCCGGCCACCGCGGGGACCCCTTCTCGGGGCGCGGTGCACCCTGCCTTCTTGGCATCCACATTCCTGGCTGTGGGACAGGCCAGGGGCAGCAGGGGGAGGGGCAGTCGAGACAGGTGTCCGCCAGGGCAGGGGTCACTTAGGTTTTGGGTGGACCAGCTTCTGCTCTGCCCGACTGAGAGGAGGGACATCGTCCCCGGGACGGAGGACAGTGTCCAGAGGGGGAGAGAGCTGCTCCTGCCCCCGATGCTCAGCCATGGGAGCTGGGTCAGGTCCTCAGGGCCCAGCCTTGTCCATTCTGAGAAGTAGATTCAGGGTGTAGGTGGGGGCCCTGGGGGTCCGCAGGCGCCGAGGGGCAGGGGGCAGTCCCGGGGACAGGTGGGCGGCAGGGACCAAGGGGTCTCTGTGTCCTGCACAGCCCTGGAGGTGCCCGAGGTGGACCTGGACGGCCGGCTGCCCTTTGTGCGGCCCTTGCCACACGTCTCGGTGCTGGAGGACACGCTGTCCCACCTCTTCCAAGATGACTACGTCGGGGCCGAGGAGGTGGCGGAGGCCCGCGGCGAGCACACGCTGGAGGAGAAGTTCGGTGAGCCGTGGGCCAGCAGGGCCTCTGGTCTCCAGGAGGCAGCCAGGGCCCCTCCGGCCACCCTGCGGGCTTGGGCGAGGAAGGACCCCTGCAATGACTGACTGACCGGCTGAAAGGCCCAGCCACCTGCTCGGCTTGCCCGGCGCGTCGGGCTGAGCCTGGGCGGCACGGGCCCAGCGCACCCGGGTCAGGCCCCCCCGGTCCTGCACCTGCTCCCACGCCCTCGCTCGCCCGCTGCGCCTTCCTGGGCACAGGGCGTCTCTGGGGCCCCCACTGGCCCCTGTGCCCCAGAACCCGGGCGGGGTCCGAGGCCCCTCTGCCGTCTGTCCCCAGTCTGCCTGGATGACGCCTTCGGCCCGGACTGCAGCCTGACCTGTGACGACTGTGGGAACGGAGGGACCTGCCTCCCGGGCCTGGACGGCTGCGACTGCCCCGCGGGCTGGACCGGGCTCGTCTGCAACGAGAGTGAGGAGGCTGTGCGGGGCGCGCGGCCGTTCGGTTTGCCCTTCCTGCCAGCCCTTCCCCCCTTCATTCAGTGTGTGCTGGCCGCCCCTCTGCCGAGCGTCCGCCCCTCGCAGGCCGCAGCGGGTGCGGCTCAGGACAGTGAAGAGGAGCCGGGCGGGCCATCCTGCCGTGGCCCGTGGCCCGGTGGGAGCCGCAGTCTCCCCAGGCCGCTCGTGGGACTCTGCTGTCCCTCCTCTGTCCAGAGCCCCTGCCCTTCCCCACCTAGTGACCCCAGACCAGGGCAGCCCTGGAGGTTCCGTGTCAGGGCTTCGGGACCCTCCGAGGGTCTGCCTGTCGAGAGCTAGTGGGGAAGGGGGACGCGTCGGCCTTCCGAGGGAGGGACGGTGGCCATCGATCAGTGCCCTCTGCCCCGCGTGGGCGTCACAGGCACGAGCCCCATGCTGGCTGCTCTGGGCAGTTGCTTCTGAACTTCTCAACCCCGGGAGGGTCTCTTCGTGTCCCCAGAGTCCCCCAGCGGCCCGTGACCTTGGGCTTCCTGTCGCCCCTGCAGCGTGCCCCCCGGACACCTTTGGGAAGAACTGCAGCTCCCCCTGCCGCTGTCAGAACGGTGGGACCTGTGACCCCGTGATGGGGGCCTGCCGCTGCCCTCTGGGTGTCAGTGGAGCCCACTGTGAGGACGGTGGGTGCAGCCCCTCTGGGTCTGGGAGTGTCCCTGGGGTGGACGGGAGGGGCAGGCACCTGGCTCTCAGCTCCCCTCCGGCTTTCTCCTGGTCGCCTTCCCCACAGGTGAAGAAGCCACGCACAGGAAGACCTCTCTAGAGAGAGGCTGATGTTTCATTGTTTGCTAAGCATCCCGGGGCCTAACAGTAGCAGGCGGTGGAGACTCGACAGGAGCTTAGCGCTTTTGCAAGGGGTCCCCCTGGGAGGTAGTGAGCTCCCTGTTCCTGGAAGCATTCAAGTAGGGCTATAGGATGGCTGGGTGGGATCTGCGGAAAGCACTGCCCCGGGGCCGTGGCTGCCTGGGGATGCCGCCCACTTCCTTTCTCGCTCCGGAGATGTTTGAGAGTCCGCACAGGCAGCTTCCTCAGGCGACCGGTGTTCTCTCAGTCCTCAGCCCTTGGAAACTGCTCTGTCCCGAGGATGTAGCTGGTGTATTGAGAAGTCCTGCCTTGGCAAGCGGGTGGTAGCCATCAATGGTGCCCCGGGGTGGCCCCGCGATTCCCGAGGGCAGGTTTCAGAGCCCGGGGCAGCCGTGCGGGGCTCCTGCCTCCTCTGCTCGGCCTCTGGGCCCCTCAGCCTCCCCTCTTCCCCCTTCGCTCCACACCTGTCCCGCGGGGGGTGGGGAGCCCGCTGCCTGCTAGGAGCTCCCCGTGCAGCGGGCCCTGAACGGACCAAGGACACAGGTGAAGGGTCCGCACTTGAGGGCGTCTGCTTGCGATGTCGTGTGGCTCGGGGGCCTGTGGGAAAGTGCACCTGTGCCGGGCAGCTCGTGAACTGTCGTCCCAGGAGGGGCCTGGCAGGGCGGTTCAGGGCGGGAGGCCCTCGGCCGTGGGTGCCCTCGATCCCAGGCGTCCCGGGCTGTGCATCCCTGACACAGATCCCCGGGACACCTGTTGCTGGGGTTAGGCTGGCTGGGACCACCCAGGTGGCTCCCCCGGAGATCTGGGGGTTACCCCCAGCACGTGCAGCCCCGCAGGAGGCTGGGCCAGGCGGCCTGAGTCAGGGGAAGCGTTTGGGCAGGAAAGCCAGGCCCTGTCCTCGCCCTGGCCCCTGAGCTGGGTCCCGGGACCCTGGCCCCTTGGGGCGCGTGTCCTACCCTCTCTCAGGTCTGGGTCGGGCCGGGGGACCCCCGAGGGAGAGCCGTCCGCCGCTGAGACGTGGGCTGGGCCGGGAGGGTGGCGCGGCCTCTGCCGTCCAGTGCTTGCTGAGCGCCGTGCTTGGCCTCCTGCCCGGGCTGCTGTCCAGGCCACGGACCCGGGGGAGCGGCCGCGTCCTGGGGCCACCAGACGGCCTCCCTGCCTTCCTGTTGCTCTCACTCTCCTCTGTTCCTCCCCTTCTGGGGTGCAGGGTCCCCAGGCTGCTGGTGGCCCCAACGTCCTCTGGCTGTGCCCCGGGGGCCCAGGCCACTGCTGGCCTCGTGCTGGGCGCCGGGGCCCCTCAGGGTGTCTCTGTGGGCTGGGGGCCCACTTGGAGCGGGTGCTCACAGCAAGGCCCCTCCCGCAGGCTGCCCCAGGGGTTTCTACGGCAAGAACTGCCGCAAGCGGTGTCCCTGTGGCCCCCGGGGCCGCTGCCACCGCCTCTACGGTGCCTGCCTCTGCGACCCAGGGCTCTACGGCCGCTTCTGCCACCTGGGTGAGTCCACTGCCCGCTCCCCGCGTCCGGGGTGATGCCGCTGGGCCGCCGCCCGCTGCCCCGGGTCTGCCTGTTCCCTGTGGGACGAGGGAGCTCAGCGAGGCCCCCAGCTGGGACGCGGGGCCCCCCCCAGGTCTGTGCACTCAGCCACAGGCCTGCCGGCCTCGGGGTGTCTGGGTGGGCAGTCCCCAGCCCGGCCCGGGAGGTGGCAGGCTCCTCCGAAAGCTTCCGGAACAGAGGGCTCATCCCGGCTTCCGGAGCCCCCTGGTGGCAAGGGCGGGTCCTGAGCCCCAGTGGGGCCCCTGACACCCCACGGGGAGCAGCTGTGCCCCTCTGGACTGTTCAGAGGGAGGAACGCCGGGACCTCAAGTTTCCTAGCTGGGAAATGGGGGTGGCCCAGGCAGGTTCCGTAACTTCACGGAGACCCTGTTTCTGGTCTATAACGTGGGCGCAGTGGCCCGGCCGCTGGGACAGCAGTGGGCTTGGGGCCGGGTCCCAGAGACACGCCGGCCGAGGGCGTGGGGACCCTGGGACTGGGGAGGGCCGGGCCGCAGGCCGCAGGCCCCTGACGGTCCTGGGGTGCAGCCTGCCCGCCGTGGGCCTTCGGGCCCGGCTGCTCGGAGGAGTGCCGGTGTGAGCAGCGGAACACGCGGGCCTGCGACCGGAAGGACGGCAGCTGCTTCTGCAAGGAGGGCTTCCAGGGCGAGCGCTGCCAGCATGGTGAGTGCCGGGCGCGGGGGTGCCCCGGGCCGGCTGAGCGCCCAGGCCCCTCTCCTCTCGTCCCCCGCAGAGTGCGAGCCCGGCTTCTTCGGGCCCGGGTGCCGGCAGGCGTGTGCCTGTCCTCTGGGCATGGCCTGCGACCCCGTCAGCGGCGAGTGTGGGAAGCGGTGTCCTGCCGGCTACCAGGGGGAGAACTGTGACCGAGGTGAGTGGCTGGCCCCTGGAGCCCCGGTCTGGGTGGGGTGCGGGTCAGTCGGCCCGCCTGGGCGCTGGGCACCAGAGGTGTCGTGAGCTGGCCTGGGGCACTGCCCTTACACCCACCCCCGCCTCCCTCACGCGGGTCTGCCTGTCCCTGTGCCCCTGCCAGCCGGGCAGCTGCTCTGGGGTGGCACCTCGGAGCCAAGTCTGGGCCAGGGGTGCCGGCACGGCCATGGGGGTGACGGAAGGCCCAGTGGTTGTCATGGGCAGGTGATGGGAAGAGCCCTGTGTGAGTGACGGCGCCGCGGGTGGGGACGTCCCATGGCTCCTCCCACAGACCTTCCCACACCATCAGCCCAGGTGGACGGAGCAGGGGCTGTGGCGGGAGCGGTGGGACCACAGCCGGGGCAGCTGGCTTGAACGGCCCCCAGCCACGGGCCTGGCCCCTCGGTCAGAGATGCCCCGGCTTCCCATCTCTCTGGGGAATAAGGACGGGCCTGGGAGCCCTGCCCAGCCCGAGCTGGGGTTCAGGGTGCCCTCCGGGTGGTTGTCCTGGGCGCCCAGTGAGGACCCTGTCGAGGGCCCTTGGTCCTGCTGGTACAGGAGGGCCATGTGGGAACTCAGCCAGGACCCCACCCCTGCCCGACCGTGTCTCTGAGGAGCTCTGGGTCTGAGCCCCATGTCTGCTCCCGTCGGGGAAGCCGAGCCCTGTGGGCCACGCAGGCGGCCGCGCCTCTCCTCTCTGCCCGCCCCCCGCAGGCACAGCCACGCGCACACACGTGGGGCTGACCCCCCGCCCTCCCCCGCCCAGCCCTGCCGGCCTTCCTGCAGGCCACCTCACTCTCTCCCTTCCTCCCTGAGAGCCTGAGCCCCGAGGATGAGCCACAGGAAATGACACACATACTTTTACAGAAACGGTGACCCCACCGCGGTGTTGGGTCTGGAAAGTGTTACTGAGCCAAACACGTGTCTGCCCCGTTAGTGGGGAGGGAGGTTCCGAGGCCTGGGGGTCACTTCCACCAGCTCCGCTGGGCCTCCCTGTTGGTGGTGCGTGTGTGTGTGTGTGTGTGTGAGTGTGTGTGAGTGCGTGTAGGTGTGGGTATGAGTGTGCATGCGTGCATGTGAGTGTGAGCACATGTGTGAGTGTGCAAGTGTGTAAGTGCATGTGTGTGAATGCACGTGAGTGCACGTGTGAGTGTAAGTGCACGTGAGTGTGAGTGCATGTGTGAGTGTGCATGCATGTGTGTAAGTGCACGTGTGTGAGTGCATGCGTGTGTGAGTGCATGTGTGTGTGAGTGCTTGTGTGTGAGTGCGAGTACATGTAAGTGTGAATGTGAGTGAGTGTGTGACTGTGTACATGAGTGCATGTGTGTGTGAGTGTCTGAGTGTGTAAATGTGTGAGTGTGTCTGAGTTGTGATTGTGTGTGAATGTGTGTCTGAGTGTGTAAGTGTGTGTGTGTACCCACAGTTCTATGTCCTGTGCTTGTGCCCACGGTGGGATGTGGGTGGGTCCCGCAGGGGCTGGGTCCTCATTACAAGGTTCTCTGGGGTGTGTCCTCCGTCCCAGAGCCCCCTCGGTGCCCTGGAAGGCCCCAGGCCTGGGACTGCACCCCATCCCAGCCCAGGTGGGCGCATCCCAGCCGTCAGCTCGCATGGGGTGTTTTGCTCAGTGGGTCTGGTCCTTGGTGTGGGATGTGGGGTGGCCACGCAGCCTCTCCAGGTGCTGTAGGCCTTCCTGGGCCGAGAGCTTCCTTCCCAGCAGCACGGGAGTGGTTGCCACCCGCTGGGGCAGGCATGGGGGTGCACAGGGGCTCTGCCAAGCCCTCTCGGGTGGGGTGGGGATCAGGGCACCCACATCTGTTCCTGAGGCCCGACTGCAGCCGAGCCCTCGGGGGCCACTTCTGTCCCTCACCCCTCAGCAGTGGGAGGGTCCAGGGTGGTCCAGGTGGCTGGAGGGAGTTCTGCCCCCTCTCCTGGGCAGTCTCCAGGCTCCTGGATGCCCGAATGCTGCCTCCGCCGTGCCCACTGGCAGCCCCGCTCCCAGACCTTGCCCACCTGTGCTCTCCAGCAGACCCCTTTCACTGTGCTCCATGTTCCTCGTCCCCTGCCCACTGTGACCACCCTGCTCACCCAGGGGGCGGGTGCCAGGGGGGCTCTGTGGGGAGGAGGGCACAGGGGGGTGCCCTCGTGGGGGTGGCTGAGGTTCTTCCTCTCCCCCATGCAGAGTGTCCAGCGGGGACATTCGGCGTGAACTGCTCCGGCTCCTGCTCCTGCGGTGGCGCCCCTTGTGACGGGGTCACGGGGCAGTGCCTGTGCCCACCTGGGCGGACGGGGGATGACTGTGGGGCAGGTGAGTGGCAGGCCTGTCCTGTGGTCCTCGACCCCCCTGTGCTGGGCCACTGCGTGTGGGGCTGGGAGTGGGGTCCACGCTGCCCTGACGTGTGTCCACCGAGCGGCACCAAGAACCCCCGTCCGTGGGAAGGGTGCCCCGCGGGCCGCAGCCCTCCCCAGAGGGGCCCATGGTTTGCCCTCCAGGCTGCTTGTTTACTGTGTGGGGGTCTCCGGCCCCTCTGATGGGCCCCGCATGCCTGCTGAGCCACCGGGGCAGCCTGAGGGGGCGCCGGGAGTTCCTCCAGCCCTTCCTCCCTCCCGCCCCCGTGCAGGGGCTCGGTGCTGGGCCAGACCCCAGCAAGGCCCAGGGAGGCTGACTAGGTGGGGGTGGGCCAGACTGTCCCGAAGGCCACTGGGGGCTCGGCTGCCAGGAGATCTGCCCGGCGTGTGAGCACGGTGCTGCCTGTGACCCCGAGACCGGAGCCTGCCGGTGCCGCCCCGGCTACACGGGCAGCCGCTGCCAGGACGGTGAGTGCCACCCTGCCCGGCTCAGCCCTGCGGTGCTCTGTGGCCCCCTCACACTCCCCCTCCTCCCCTGCAGTGTGCCCAGCAGGCTGGTTTGGGCCCAGCTGCCACATGAGATGCTCCTGTGCCAACGACGGGCACTGTGACCCGGCGACTGGACGGTGCAGCTGTGCCGCGGGGTGGACTGGCCTCAGCTGCCAGAGAGGTGGGCACCCTTGTCCAGCGCCCCTCCCCTGGGGAAGCCCCCACCCCAGATGTGGGGGCTGGGGCCGGCAGGAGCCCTGCCCCGACCTGGCTGGTGCCCGTGGGCTCCACTGGGCCTGCGAGGGTGACAGGCTCTGTTGCAGCCTGTGACAGTGGGCACTGGGGACCCGACTGCGGCCACACCTGCAACTGCAGTGCCGGCCACGGGAGCTGCGACGCCGCCAGCGGCCTGTGCCTGTGCGAGGCCGGCTACGTGGGCCCGCGGTGCGAGCAGCGTGAGTCCTGGCCTGACCGCAGCCGTGCGCTCTGTGTGCACACTTGGGGGCACACGTGCACACGCACACACGGCACACACATGTGAGCGCACACGCGGTCATGCATGCACACACACACAAAGGCACAACACACACACAAAGGCACAGTGCAGGCGTGTGCACACATGCACACACATGCACGTGTGTGTTGGGGGCCCTCGCTCTGCCCGCTTGTCCCCAGACACGCAGGGGATCTATCACCTGAACTCAGCCAGCTTCCCCTCCCAGCCCGGGCCCTGGCACAGCCCGCAGGGCCCCTGGAGAGGAGAGGAAGGTGGCTGCCAGGAATGACGGCCGTGCCTCTTGGTGTGCCCTGAGCTGAGCTGGGCCGGGTCCTCCTACGAGGAGCCCGAAGGTCACACCGGGGGCCCTGCCTTTCCTGGGGCTCGGTTCCTACCTGGGCGGGGGGGGGGGGCAGAGGCAGTGGGGGAGCCCAGCACCCCTGGGGCAGGGAGGGGCTTCTCCATGAGCCAGCTTCAGCCCTCTCGTTCCTGCCCCCTCGGGATGGCAGAGCCCCAGACAGAACTGGGTGAGGCTCACTGTGCCCCAGCTGATGGTGGGCCGGGGCTGTGTCTCAGCCTGTCCCCAGGGCCACTTTGGGCTGGGCTGTGGGCGGCAGTGCCAGTGTGAGCATGGGGGGGCCTGTGACCACGTCAGTGGGGCCTGTACCTGCCCGGCCGGCTGGAGGGGAACCTTCTGTGAGCGAGGTGAGCTGGGGAGGGGCGGGGCTGGGGTGGCCAGGAGGTGGCCAGGGGCTGTGACCCCGCTGTCTCCCCTTTTTGCCCCCACTCCTGCAGCCTGCCCGGCTGGCTTCTTCGGACTGGACTGTCGCCACGCCTGTGACTGCTCCGCCGGGGTGCCCTGCGATGCCGTGAGCGGCACCTGCCTCTGCCCTGCCGGCCGCCGGGGCCCCCGCTGTGCCCAGAGTGCGTGAGGCCCGCCAGCCCTGGGCTGCAGGCGGGGGGCGGGGCCCTGGGGTCCAGCTGGCTGTCCAGAGCTGCCAGGTGGTCACCCTGGAACACCGCTCGGTCCCCCTAAGTGGTCCACCCGAGGGCTGTCCAGGAGAGGGACAGTGGCCCAGCCAGCCCAGGGACCCTGGCCGTGTGCCCAGCTGCCCCTGCCAGGGTCTGTCTCCCAGGCCCCTGAGCACCCTCTCTCCTGCAGCCTGCCCAGCCCTCACCTACGGGCACAACTGCAGCCAGGCCTGCTCCTGCTTCAATGGGGCTTCCTGTGACCCGGTCCACGGGCAGTGCCGCTGTGGCCCTGGCTGGACGGGTCCCAGCTGCCTGCAGGGTAAGCTTGGCCCAGCAGCCTGCGGCCAGGGCTTGTACTTCCCCGTCTTGGGGGGATGGAAGGCCCACCTGGATGGGCAGGGATGGCTGGGGCGCCTGGCACCTGGGGGAAGGAAGGAAGGTGGGTGCTTAGGACCCACCCTGCAGAGCTCCCCACAGCCGGGTGCCTGGGCAGGTTGTCGCAGGGACAGCAGTGGGCGAGGTCCCCACCCCGCTCTGATGTTGGGCTCTGGGCTGGCCCTCCTGGGGGAGGCGGGGTCGAGCCCTGTGGGCCTGGCTGGCGGGCGGACGCTCCCTCTCTGCCCCCAGCCTGCCCCTCGGGTCTGTACGGTGAGAACTGCCGGCACGCCTGCCTCTGCCGGAACGGGGGTACCTGCGACCCCGCCTCGGGCCACTGCACCTGCAGGGAGGGCTGGGCCGGCCTGGCCTGTGAGCAGGGTGAGCTGGGCGGGCCGAGGCGGGCCGGGACCCCGGGCTCTGTGGAGCCAGGGCTGCTGCCCCAGGGGCCCGGTGCAGCCCCTCCCTGTGGCCAAAGCTGGCTTTCTGCTTGGGGTGGGGACAGCGTCCTGGCTGTGGCTTCGGGCCGTCAGTGTGACCAGCCCCCATACCTCCCCTTCCTGGAGACGGGAGGGACCCGGGGTTCTGGTGCGGAGGTGAGGGTGGGTCCCAGGGTCGTAGCCCTGCCCCCGGAGGTGGCCTCACCCGTTCGCACCCCGCAGAGTGCCCCCCAGGGCGCGTCGGAGCTGGGTGCCAGCAGAGCTGTGGGTGCCTCAGCGGTGGCCTCTGTGACCCGCACACGGGCAGCTGTCTCTGCCCCGCTGGCTGGACTGGTGACAAGTGTCAGAGCCGTGAGTGGGATGGTGGGGGGCCGTGCAGAGGGCCCGGCTGCCCCGCTTGCCCACAAGGGGTGGCCTCCGCCCACTCCAGCTGTGGGTCCTCAGCAAGGAGGTCACGTGCCACGTCGGGGGCGGGGCTGCTGTCTGGGGTCCAGGGTCCCCTGTGAGAGGGTCTCGGCTGGCCCAGACCGCCCATCGTCTGGTCCTGCAGCCTGTGCCCAGGGCACGTTTGGGGCTCACTGTGAGGAGCGCTGCGCCTGCCGGCGGGGAGCCCGCTGCCACCACGTCACGGGGGCCTGCCTCTGTCCCCCAGGATGGAGCGGCGTGCGCTGTGACAGTGGTGAGCCCCCAGCCCTGCCCGCACCCGGTGGGGCGCCTTCCACCCTGGGGGCCCTGCAGGCCAGCGCTGGCCGAGGGCTCCCCCCAGCTCCCCCTCCCTGCAGCCTGCCCGCGTGGCTGGTTCGGAGATGCCTGTGCCCGGCGCTGCCTGTGCCCGCCCGATGCCCCCTGCCACCACGTCACTGGGGAGTGTGGCTGTCCCCCAGGCTCCACTGGGCCTGGCTGTGAGCAGGGTAGGTGACCGAGTCGGGGGGCCTGGGGGAGTGGGTGGCTCCGGCCACATGTCCCCCCGAGCTCTGCCTCAGAATCTCATGCCGAGAGGGTGCCACGGGGGTGACTCTGGGAGCCTGTTCCGGGGCTGGGCCAGGACTGACCCCTCCACCTGCACCCCAGCCTGCCGGCCTGGCACCTTTGGGGAGAACTGTGGGCAGAAGTGCCGGTGCCCCAGCAAGAACCAGGCCTGCCACCCTGCCTCGGGGGCCTGCGTGTGCTCCGCTGGCTACCACGGCGCCGGCTGCCGCCAACGTGAGTGCTGCCAGGTGTCCGGGGCCGTCCTCGGGGAGGCCGCCGCGTGGGTGCAGGGCGGGGGCCGGGGCTCTGCGTGGGGGCAGACCCAGCCCCTTAGCCCTCGGCCCCTGGCGGCTGGCCTCCCCCACAGGGTGCCCTTCCGGGCGCTTTGGGCCCGGCTGTGAGCAGCTGTGTGAATGTCTCAACGGGGGCTCCTGCGACGCGGCCTCGGGGGCCTGCGCGTGCCCGGCTGGCTTCCTGGGGGCCGACTGCAGCCTCAGTGAGTGGCTGGGCCTTGGGGGGCGGGCCTCACCCCCGTCTGCGGGAGGACAGCCCCTGACCACCCTCCTCCCTGGCCCTCCTGCGGCCCCAGCTGGGCGAAGCTGGGAGGGTCCCTGCAGGCTGTGTGCTGTGCCCTCCCCAGCTCATGCCCACCAGGCTGGGACACCGCGGTGAGGCCAGCGGGCACCCTGCCGAGAACAGGGCCTTTCCCGAAGTCGGGGACTTTCCACCCACCCGGAAGCTGGTGGGGTGGGACCGGGGCCCAGTGAGTCACAGTCGCAGCCGAGCTCCCCGCAGAACCTCCCGGGCTGCGAGATGTCAGAGGGGCGGGGCGGGGGCAGGGCAGGCAGTGTGCTCTGTCGGGCTCCTCCCTGCCACTCTGTCCCCACCCGGCGGAGGAGGAGGGGTCCCACCCGGGGGCGACCACCCTCCTGTTTCCTCCTGGCAGCCTGTCCACAGGGCCGCTTTGGCCCTGGCTGTGCCCACGTGTGCAGGTGTGGGCAGGGGGCGACCTGCGACCCCGTGACGGGCACCTGCACCTGCCCCCCGGGGAGGACCGGCGCCCACTGTGAGCATGGTGAGTGTCCGCCCAGCTGCCGCCTGGGCATCTCCGGGTGTCACTCCAGCAGCCACGGGTGGCGCAGTGGGTCTCGTGGCGCGTTCACACCCGTGGCCTCTGTGGACCCCCTGTCCCTGCTGAGCGCCCCGGGGTCAGCGGTGTCCGCTCGGGTCAGCGGGCCGTCGACACCTCCCTACGCCTTCCCTTCACCATGGCCCCTGCCTCAGGCCGTCCAGTGACCTGTTCCCATCCCTGTGTCCAGTGGGGGACTGAACAGGGTCCCACTCGCCCTGTAAAATGGGGCGTCAGGTGGCTGTTCAGTCTGAGGATGGAGCTCCTGGCTGGTCTCCTGGGAATGGGGGCCTTCTGGTCCTTGCTGCTGGGCCCAGGGGCTGGGGTCCTGATGGAGGGGCTGGAGCACAGGCCGTGGTGGAGAAATGGGACGGCCCTGGGGACAGGTGTGGAGCTCACGGCCATGCCCACAGCCCTTAGCCTGACCCTCTGGTAGGTCTTAGCCCCTGCCACCCTCTGGTCCTCTGAGGGGGGCTGGTGACACCCTCTGGGCCTCCTCCTGTGTCAGCCGAGGGCAGAGGCCCCAGAACCTGGCTCCAGCCAGGCCACATCCTCACCCCCGAGGACTGCAGCCGTGGCCGTCTGGAGTTCAGGCTTGGAGTAGGCACCTGTGCAGAGTGCCACCACCTCCAGGGAGGCTTCCCTGACCTCTCCCGTCGGCTGGGCAGGCACTCGAAGGCCCTGGAGGACCCTGGCCCCTTTCCCCCTGACTTGGCCTCGGCTCTGGGTCAGGCGTGGCCGTTGCTGACCGGAAGGGTGGACGAAGGGGCAAGACGTGGGCGGAGTCCTCCCTGGCACGTGTGTGCCCAGGGTGCGGCCTGGCCCTGAGCGGCCCTGGGAGACTGCTGTCGAATGAATGAGCGATCTGCGGGGCCAGAGCTCCAAGTCGTGTCCGGCGTCTGTCCCTAGACTGTCCCCAGAACCGGTTTGGCACGCGCTGCGAGCACCTGTGCGCCTGCAGGAACGGGGGCCTGTGCCACCCCACCAACGGCAGCTGCGCCTGCGGCCTGGGCTGGACGGGGCCGCGCTGTGAGCGGGGTGAGTGTCCAGCGGGCTGGAGGGTCGGCTCCCGGTCACCCGGTCAGGCGAGGGCCCGAGGGGCGTGTGCCCCCTGCCCCGAGACAGAGCCTGCCCGCCGCCCTCTGCAGCCTGCCCCGCCGGGCGCTACGGTGCCTCCTGCCACCTGGAGTGTTCCTGCCGCAACAACGGCACCTGTGAGCCCGCCATGGGCGCCTGCCGCTGCGGCCCCGGCTTCTACGGCCAGGCCTGCGAGCACTGTGAGTCCGGGGAGGGGACCCCGGCCCGGCGTCCACGCCTCCCGCCGCCTCGGGCCTGGGCTGACCTGGGCTCCTGGGGGCGATAGGGCCTGGCCCCAGATTGCAGGGGGGTCAGACCTCCTGCCGGAGCCCAGGCTGTGATGGGGGAGCTGGGCCTGGGTGGGAGGAAGGGGGAGCCCAGAGCCCTGAACCCAGTCTTTTGCCCACTTGGGTAAACTGAGGCAGGAGCTCTGACCCGGTCTCCTTCAGCCTGTCCCCCTGGCTTCCACGGTGCTGGCTGCCAGGGGGTGTGTGGGTGTCAGCATGGAGCCCGCTGCCACCCGGTCAGCGGCCAGTGTCTCTGCCCCCCTGGCTTCCACGGCCAGTTCTGCGAGAGGGGTGAGTGCCCCCCCCACCCTGGCCCTGTCCAGTCGGCGTGGGACGGGGGACACGCTGAGCCCACCCCCACCCCACCCCCACCAGGGTGTGAGCCCGGCTGGTTTGGAGAGGGCTGCCGTCAGCGGTGTGACTGCGAGGCTGGGGTGACCTGTGACCCTGTCAGCGGCCACTGCCTTTGTCCCCCGGGGCGCATGGGGGCCGCCTGTGACCTGGGTGAGTCTGCGGTCCCCCTGGTGGGGCACAACTGTGGGTTTCTGTCAGGGGCAAGTGTCCATCACGTGGGCCTAGCCGCCTGTGCTGCGCCCCTGTCCCCAGCCTTCTGCAGGGTCACCTGCTCAGAGCACCTAGCTGTCAGGGCCACACCTGTCCTCAGGTCACCCCAGAGTTCCCGGAGTGACCTCTGCCCAGGGTGGAGGCTGAGGTCATGGGAAGAGGCCCCGGTGGGGTGGGAGGAGACCTTAAGTGCACTCCTCGGCAGGGATGGGCGGGGCCATCCTGTCTGTGGTCTTGCTGTGGGGGTGCAGCCCCAACCGCCAGGCCCCCCTTCACTGTCAGGGGGGTGGGCAGGAACTCTGGGACTGTGGGCAGGTACTTGGTACCTGGTATTTCCCGTGAGAGCGCTTACCCGGGGCAGGGACGCAGGCTGGAGGCTCTGCCCCTGCCCCACCCCATGCACAGGGGGCCCAGGCTGGCGGCCAGGAAGGCACTCAGGCGCCCCCTCTGCCCCTCCCCCGCAGACTGCAAAGGGGGCTTCTTCGGGCCAGGCTGTGCCCTGCGCTGTGACTGCGGGGGTGGCGCCGACTGTGACCCTGTCAGTGGCCGGTGTCACTGCGTGGATGGCTACACAGGGCCCACATGCCGACAGGGTGAGTCAGGCTCTTGGGGAGAGTGGACGGGACACTGCTCTCAGCCCAGCCCCGGGCCCAGGCCCGTCCTCTGCACGTGCAGAGCTGACCTATCCTGGTGCTCTGGGGTTCCCATGGCTTCCCATGGGCAAGCGTAACCTTGCAGCCCGGGACCTTGGAGCAGGACTTGGCATGCTGCCACGCCCAGGCAGCCCACCAGCTTCAGCACCAGACCTTGGCCAGGGCGGGCTCCTCCCCCACGGGCCAGGGCCTGGGCGCTGCCGCCGACCTTACCCCGCTTGTGCGGACATAATGTTGGCTGTGGCGGCATCTGGTGGTCAGGTGTGGTACTGCACCACGGGACCAGACCCGCCTTGGGCAGGCCTGACATTTGAGGGGGGTGGGGTACTGCCTGCCTGAGGCCCTGGGAGAAGGCAGACAGCCAGGGCTTCGTGTCCCCCTGCTTTGGAGTGGACCTGGCTAGGTCTGTAGTGAAGTTCCCTCCCCCACATCCAGCCCAGAGCGCCCCCCAATGGTGCCTGGACAAGGCAGGGCTGGGAGTACTCATTAGGAGAGGGGAAGAGGCCCCATTATTTGCATAGGAGCCCCCCCCCCCTCGCAGGCCTGGAGTCCCCTTACTGCTGTCCACAGAGTGGGGACTAACGTGACTGTCTGCCTTCATTCAGGTGGGCCCCAGCTCCCTGGGATCCTGTCCCCAGCCCTGGGCCCAGGTAAGGGGGTTGGGTGGCATTTGGTGGCGTCACTGGTGCATCAGCAGCAGTCTAAGGCCAGAGGAGGGAACCTCAGAGACTCGCCCCGGGGGTGACGGGAGGGGAGGCTGGAGCCGGAGAGCAGGCAGGACGTGGTGATGCCTCCCGCCCCGAGCCGACCCTCCTTCCTCCTGTCCCTGCAGCGGCCTCACATGGCGCCCCTGGAGGACCAGCGCCCGGCTCCCCAGCAGGGCCGCCTCCCGGTGCCACCAAGGGGACCCAGGGGCTCTGAGGAGGACGCTACGGGCCCGGACTGCGGCTCGCTCTCGTTTCCGAGGGCTGTGGACTACTGCGCCTCCTCTCTGCAAGGATCCTCGGGCCTCCGGGAGGGAGGCTCCGCCGGGCCCAGCTCCTCTGGCCCAGGCGGGTGGCCTGGCCTGGCCGAGGGGCCCCGCGCTCCTGCCCCCCGGGTGCAGGTGGGGCCCTGCCCGCCCAGCAGGCTCTTTGGTGCTAGGCGCTGGGACAGGTGCCGCCCGGCCGTGTTTATAGGATGGTATTTATGGGTGCTGTCTCCTGCCTGCCCCGGGAAGCCGGACTCAGGACTGCGCGGCTCCGAGGGGCCCGGGGCAGGGGCGTGTGGAACCCAGTGAGTCAAGAAAGGCGCAGCCGCTTCTCGAGGCCGTGTGTGTGCTCTGTGCGCCGGCCCGGGGGGTGCGCCGGCCTGGGGGTCCGCGGACAGGAGTCTCCCCTGACCAGGGGGGCCCGACAGGTGCCCTGCTCCTCCCTGGCAGTGGGGTACCAACAAGCAAAGCTGGGGTGTACCCAGAGCTCTAGAGGGACAGCAGGGGCGGCCCCGGCGGAGGGATCTGCTAGAGCCAGGCGCCCGACACCCGGGAAGCAGCTGGTCCTAGAGCCTGCGGGCGGATGGGGTGCCTGGCCCGAGAGCAGGGGTGGTGTGGGGGCGGCCTGACCCCTCCTACCCTCAGCCCAGAAACAGTGGTGAGGAGAGAACAGCACGGGGCGGCGTGGCCAGTAGAGAGGGTCGGACCCAATCGTCACTCCGGCACAGGGTCCGAGCCGTAGCCCCGTCCCCGCGCCCGCCAGCAGCCAGCCCAAGGGCAAAGGACCTCGTGGGGCAAACCGTGGAGGGCTCTGGGAAGCCTCGCCCCTTACACGGAGGGAAACGGGCCCCAGAGGCGGCCAGAGGAACGAGCCACGCGTTCAGCAAATGCGCGAGGATCCGGGCGGGGGCGGGGAGGAGCCAGGCGGTTAGAGGAGCCCGTGGAGACTGAGCGGGCCGGCGGCACGGACACCCCAGCCAGGACGGACACCCCAGCCAGGACGGCCCCGCAGGCAGCGGGAGGCTCAGAGGGCACACAGAGGGAGGGTCCCCGGCACGGAGAGGGAGGGTGCGCGTCCCTCTAAGGGACAGGAAAGTCCTGGCGCGGAGCCACAGCGAGCGCGCTCGGACGAAGGTGGACGCCTCCCGCAGGGGGCTGCGCGCGCACAGTGCACGCACAGAGGCCCGGCCAGGGGCCCTCTGCAGGCTGACGGCGCAGAGCGGTTCCGAGAGGCCCAGCAGAGGAGCCGAGTCAGCGGCCTCAGCCTTGGCAACGGAAACGCTCCAAGACAGGGGCTCGGATGTTCTGTTCACGTTTAAGATGTGAACCTTGAACTTGACGTCCTGCTGAACTACCACCCCACAGCTCAGCCCGGCTCAGGGGGCTCCGTCCTCGGGGGTCCCCACGGGAACCCGCCCTGCGCCGTGCTCCCGGGGGGCTCCGTCCTCGGGGGTCCTCCACGGGAACCCGCCCTGCGCCGTGCTCCCGGGGGGCTCCGTCCTCGGGGGTCCTCCACGGGAACCCGCCCTGTGCCGTGCTCCCGGGGGGCTCCGTCCTCGGGGGTCCCCACAGGAACCCGCCCTGCGCGGTGCTCCCCAGGGGCTCCAGCAGGGAGAGGAAGAGCCTGGGGGTGGGGGTGGGGGCCCGAGTGAGCCGCACTCTCCAACCTAGTGAGTGAGAGGAACCTTCCTGTTTATTGACAACTGAAACTACAGACGGTTGCTCCCCCCCACCCCCCGCATGTGCTCGCTCCAGTCACCCCTGCCGGTGGACAGATTGTGACAAGAGGCGTAGCCACCACCAGGGGCCTGAAGGTGTCTAACTGCCAAAGGACCTGGAGGAAACGTCTCTGCATGGGCAGGTGGGGAGAAGGAAAAATAGCGCAATGAAGAAGAACATGGATGGCCAAGTCATAATGGAAATGGCTCCGAATGATCCAACACCAGGTCCTTGGACTGCGGTCAACGTCGGGTCAACATCGCTCAGCAGTATTTCACTGTAAGAGACCCCCGGGCGCATAGACGGACGCTCGCGCAGCGGACCCGGACCTGTGCGGGAATTTCAGCCTCAGGGACTGTACCGACACACACACGTACACACACACTACAGTCGGGCTCAGCACTCAACAGCAATGGCCATAGAATGGGTAGAAACACAGTTATTATGGGTGATTTTATTTTTTATTAAAAAAAATTTCTTTATTGATTTTAAAGAGGAAAGGAGAGAGAGAGAGAAACATCAATGAGAGAGGACATCAACTGGCCACCTCCTGCATGCCCCCGACTGGGAATCAGGCCCACAACTTGGGCATGTGCCCTGACCGGGAGTCGAACCGTCAACCTCTTGGTGCAGGGGTCGATGCTCAGCCACTGAGCCGCACTGGCTGGGCTATCATGGGTGATTTCTTCTTTTGGTACGTGCCCTTAGCAGGAACCGAACCTAGGACTCTGGTCCGCAGGCCGACACTCCAACCGCTGAGCCGCACGGGCCGGGCTATCATGGGTGATCTTAACGTGCTCTGCACAAAAACCAAGAGGTTAAGCAAAAAGACGTAAGCGATGATGAACTTTTAATAAGCGTTCACACACGTTATATCTTATATATCACACCCATGGATGCACATATTTATATATACGTATATACACTTTATACTCAGCCGAAGGAGGATAAAACATTCATCAAAATCAAAATTTCTTTGAAGACTAATAAGAAAAAAACTCTAGCGAGAATATTGATTTTCTAAATGTAAAGCAAAACAACAATAATAATAATACGAACAGCCGTGTACCAGAAAATTTGGACACTGGAAAAAATTGATACGTTTTGGGGACAATACAACATGTCAGGATTGGGGCAGGTAGAAATAACCTGAATAAACCCAGAACGTCAGTGAGTGCGGAGAGCAGTCAAAGCTCCCCCGCCCCTGTGAAGCTGGAACAGTGCTGGTGCAGGTGGTCGATCTGGCTTTCATGAAAGACGCCGGGAACTTACCCAGTAGGGTTATTCAAAACTTTCGAGGGAAACAGCTCGCTTCACTAGGCCTCCATCAACGTCCCCAGCACGGGGACAGCACAAGAAAAGAGAATGACCGGCGTGTTATGTGTACACAGAAATCCCCAATAACATGTTAGCTCCTCAGGCAGACACATTCTAAAACAGCATCCAGTTGAGCCAGGAGACTCGATTTCAGAGCCGGGACAGGTGACGTCAGATGTGCCCGGGTGTGCGGATGAGACAAGAAAGCAGATGATCTGGACAGAAAGGGGCTGTGACAGTGAGGTGTCGTGAGTCCCCTGCACGTTGGAGAAACCAGTGGGCTCAGGTCTATCCACACAAAGCTTTGCCCACTTGGTGCACCTCGGGCTGCTGCCCTTCCTCCTCGCTTTGTCCGCGATGGCTCTCCACCGCCCTGGTGGGACAGCCTCCCCGCTAGGGGGCAGCGTCTGCAAAGCTCGGGCTGCTTGCTGAGAGTCGGGCCACCGGGCAGGACCTGCGTGGGGCTCTGGAATCACTGGGACAAGTGAAGATTCCCTCACGGTGGAGAATCGGATGGACGTCCCTGTCACCACCTCCACCCCGGCAGAGCTGGGGAGGCCAGAAACGAGGGGTGAGGGTCTGTGGGATGTTGGGGCGGACACAAACCGCCCTGGTTCTCAGGGATGGGCTGTTTCTTTGGAGGAGCCCAAAGGGCCAACAGACAGACTTGCAGGGCTGATAGGCACCAGCCAAGGTGGGCCACCAAGTCATGCGGGTGTGTAACGTGGGAAGTTACACAAACCAACCGTCTAACACTGGCCATACTGACTGGAGAACAGAATGATGCCACCCAAAGGGCAACGGACGCTGTAAACACCTGGCCCGTCGGCAGGCAGAGGGATGTGTGGACTTCCACCAAGTCCAGGGGTCTCCCGGGGCCTGGGCGTGAGGACCGCCCCCTCCAGCCAGTGTGCGCGTCTGACGGGATCCGGTCTGGTCAGATCCAGTGACGGGCTAGACAGGTGACGGGGCAGGGATTGGGGTGTCCAACGGGGATGAGGGTCTGCTCTCGGGAATGGTGGCAAACAGCAGTGACGAGGAAGTGGGTGCGGCTCGGGAACCCTGTGGCAGCGAGGGTACAGATGGAGGAGCGGAGACCTGCGACCCCAACTCGACTGGCGAACGGCTCTACTCCCAAGGGCCCCAAATCGGGGGGCCTGGGGACTGCTACTGAGGCCTGGGGGATGGGGACCTGCAGGCTCTGGTCCCGTGTGGACAGTCGGGAGGCCTCCCATGCCTCGAACCCTGGAGCTTGGCACAGTGCCCCTGCGGCCACCGGGGGAGTTGAGGAAGGTGAGCCCAGTCCCCTGGAGAGGTGGGGGTGGGGGCCTGATCCCAAGGGCATGGTGGGCATAGAGTGGCACCTAGATCCTAAGCCCATGTTGGGGTGAGGAGCAAGAATGAGGTTACTGGAGCCCTGGGCAATGTGGCTCTGTTGATTGGAGTGTCATCCTGTATACAGAAAGGTTGTGGGTTCAATCCCCGGTCAGGGCATGTACGGAAGGCAACCAATCGGTGGTCTCTCTCCTGTTGATGTTTCTCTCCCTTCCTTTCTCTAAACTCAGTGAGCATGTCCTCAGGTGAGGTTACCAGAACACACAGCCTTGAGTTAGGTTCCCTGTCCCTGAGGACGGGAAGGTGCTCAGCCGCGGATTGACTGGGATTCTAGGAAGCCTTGATGTCTCCCAGCAAACCCGCGACCCTGACGTGAGCAAGGGTCTTTGGGGCTCAGTTTCCTCACCTGCGACAGGAGGGCTGGTGCAAGGCTGGGCCTGATCCTACTTGGAAGGATCTGAGCTCGCCTAGCCTGCCCTCCACAGGTGGACCAGCCATCCCCAACAGCCTCTGGTGGCCGCCCTCCCCAGCATCCTGGGACGTCCTTCCTCCAGGCTAAGCAGTCTGACTCCTCCTTGCTTATGAGGCGCAGGGGGCTTCAACCACTCGAACTGGATGTTTCGTTCCTGCCCCAGGTTGCAAATTTGAGGTGTGGCCTTGAGGGCTTTCCAGGCCCATTTTGCTCCATTAACTGAAACCATGCCAGGCAAAGGGTGGGCAGTGGGCAGGCGTGCCCTTGCTGAGAACTTGGGGTCAGCTGTGAGAACAAGCAGGTGGACTCTGGGCAGCTGGGCTCATACATGCTGCCACCCATTGGTTTCTGTACAATGTACACATGTGCACCTGCACAGACATCTGCCACATACACATGCACCTGGGCATGCACACACACACATGCACATACATGCCTGCACACATACACATGCACCTGGGCATGCACACAAACACACATGCACATACATGCCTGCACACATACACATGCACACACACCTGCCACATACACATGCACCTGGGCATGCACACATGCCTGCACACATACACATGCACCTGGGCATGCACATACACCTGCACACATACACGTGCACCTGGGCACAGATACCTGCACATACACTTGCACACAAACACATGCACCTGGGCACACACAATATGCCACACATACCTGCACATATACACATGCACCTGGGCGCACACACACACATGCACATGCACACTGGCCACCAGCCTGCCCCACAGAACTCCAGGGAGAGCAGCGAGCAAACCCAGCTCACAGGTGGGAAAATCAAGGCCCTGGATTTCCACCTGTCCAGAAAGTAAGGGCCTGATCCCCGGTGACCCAACCTCCCAGACCATGCCTCTCCCTGAGCCCTGGCCCGGCCCCATCCCTCATCCCTCCATCCCAGGAAGTGCTTGCTCAGGGCGGCCCTGCCTGGGCTCTGACCTCGGCCTCTGCCGTCCAGCTGAGCCGTGCAGGGCACCATGGAGGTCAGTGGGAAGACGACCCCACACTCCCGGTGGTGAACCCCTCCAACCCCCACTCAGCCCCTCCCCTGGGCCAGTCCTTTCGTCCTGTGCCTGGGCCTGCAGCCCACCCCAAGGCAGAAGGGCAGAGTCGGGGTCCCCAACCACACATTCTGGGAGGAGGGGTTCAGTGCAGCCCTGCTTTTATACAGGAGCCGGCGCCCAGTGGGGTGTGGCAGGCACTCGGTCCAAGGCCAGCACTGCAGCTGAGGGGCACCATGGACAGCGGGGGCACTGGACGGGCTGGCAGGGGCCTCTGTGAGAATCCCCCCGGGAAACCACAGCCTGCCTCGACCCAGAGGTCTGCCTCTTCCATCCGCACGTCCCCCCGGGGGGCCTGCGGGCCCTGCTGTCCTCAAGCTCCAGACCCACTGGCCTTGCCCATGACTCCAGCTGGACAGACAGGCAGGGGTCAAGGAAGAGCCTGGAGTGACCATGAACGGGCGCCCAGGCGAGTGACTGGCCCGGCACAGTGACCACACGCAGGGGCCAGTCCCCCTGGCTCACGGCACCGTGGTGACTTCTTGGGGACTGGCGTGGCCTTGGCCTGGGCTCAGATCTGTGGGACTCCAGATGTTACAGAAGCACTTTAATGTCTCTGGAAACAAAGTCACAAGCACAGCGCTGTCACCTCCCTCCAGTGGCCCTCCTCTCGGAAGGCAAGGCAGCCCCGGGCACTGGAGGCCCCCCTTGTCCACACGTCACCCCACGGTTCTCAGGGCCGTCCTCCATCACGACACTCTTGGCACAGGGCAGGGAGGGCCGTCCGGGGCTGGGGCAGGGCCAGGCCACGAGGTCCCAGAGGGAGGCCATCGACTGGCTGCCTTCAGTATGACCCAGGGACCGGCCAGGGCCCAGGCTGGCTCCCCAAGCTTGTCCAGAGCCCCTGCTGCAGCCCACGGGTCCGTGGGCAGGTCCGGGATGGTTCGGGCTCCTGGGACAAGCCCACTGTGCCCCCTGAAGCCTGGCACAGCAGCTGCCTGGCGAGGTCCCAGCAGAACGAGCTACACGTCTGTCTCCACCCGCAGACGCTCCATCCTGCGCACGTTGCCCTCCACGGCCACGCGGTTGGTGATGCACCGGGCAAAGTCCTCAGGAAACCAACCCGTCTCTCCATCCCGCAGCCTCTCGCCATAGAACCATCCTGAACGCAGACATAGGCGGGTGAGGGCAGGGTCCTGGGCACCAGGGAGGTGCCTGACCTCAGCACCCCCAGCCCTCTGAGCTGCTGCTCCAGAAGATGCCAGGGCCAGGCGTCCCATGACGCTGACCTCCACTGCCTCCCGCCAAGGGCCTTGCTCAAGGCCACGTGGGCTCCAACCAGCTGCGCTTCCCCCTGTCGGCACCTGTGGGCGCCCCAGGTGCAGCAGAGCCACCCCCTCCCTCTTAGGACACAGAGCTTTGGATCCTGCAACTCAGGGACACCCTTGAAGGAAGGTGCTGCAGGGGCCCCCGGAATAAGGCTCAGCCTGAGCATGAGCAGTAACGGGGTGGGCGCCAGTGTGCTTCAGACCCTCGTGGGGGGCCCCCTGCCGGCCCCCCGAATGCTCACCGTCCTCCTGCTGCAGCACCAGGACCACGTCCGCCTGCTGCAGTGAGAGTTCGTCCGCCTGCTTGGCGAAGTAGGCCTTGACGGTCTCCACCTGGGGCAGGTCTGGGGCAGGGGCAGGGGTCAGCCTCGGGGCTGTCCTTTCGGGACCCCCAGGGCCTGGTTTCAGCGGGGCCTGCGCCCAGATGTCCCAGCACAGGACATGGCAGCCTGCCTCTGACTGGGCCTCCAGAGGCAGCCGGACGGCAAGCCGGCTCCGGGGCCCAGCGCCCGGCCCCAGCAGAGAGCACTCCCAGCTCCCTGGGGGTCGGGGCTGGAGGGGGCAACAGATCTGGGGGCCACACGCTCCAGCTCTCTGGTCTCCGTCCCCACCAGCGACCGGGCAGAGGGCAGCGCGGTCTCCCCACTGCGGAGGGGAGGCCCTGAGACAGCCGAGTCTGTGGCCAGCGCCCCTCGCCTGGGCAGGTCACCCCGGGGTCAGGCTGTGGGATGGCAGGGGAATGGGCGGTACCTCCCTTCCTGGCCAGCACCCTCCCCCACCAGGGCCAGAAGGGGGGCCGTGAGCCCCGTTCCGTGAGCCCTCACCTCCCTTGTTCCTGGGGCCGCGCCCCTGCTGCTCCCTGTGCGTCAGCGCCGTGATCCACCGGGCCCGGTCACTCCTGGGGACAGAGGGCATGAGCAGGGCCCAGGCCGACCCCCCGTCCGGTGACTTTGGCTTCAAGCACCCCACCCCCGGTGTGGCACAGTGAGAAGGTGGGGGTCAGGCGGCCTCCGTGGTGTCTGCGTCGCCCCACAGCCCTCGGGGTGGAACAGCCACGGTGACGGAGGCTCAGACCCGACATGAGCCAGGAACATCCCTGCAGGACCTCCCCTGCCCACTGCGCTGGGCGGGGCCAAGGTGGGGGAAGTCACAGAGGGGGAGAAGGAGTGGCAGGTACGCTGAGCCCCAGCCACACCTGCCCCGGGTCCGAGTGGGTGGTGGCGCTGCCTCCTGTGTCTGTAGTTTGACACTGGGGGCTCAGCTTCCCTCCCGGAAGGGGGCCGTGCAGGGGGCTCGGGGGCCGTGCAGGGGGCTCGGGGGCCGTGCAGGGGGCTCAGAGACCGGCCACTGAGCTCTAGTGCTGGCACCTTCCATGTACTGAGCCCCTCCCGTTTCAACCCGGCTGCCCCAGGGCCTTTGCACTGCTGTGCCTCTGTCAGAGACCTGCTCCCCACACAGCCCTAGAGATGAGGGCCCTCCCCAGCCCCCACCCCTCACTCCTTTTTCTGCTGTTCCCTTCGCAGTCCTCACCCCTCTGACACATGGGGTGCCTCAGCTGCTCCTTTTGTGGCTGGTGTGCCCCTCCCGGGAATGTGAACTTGGTGAGGACGCGGAGTCCCCGGCACTGGTGCGGTGCCCAGCACGGAGCAGTGGGCAGGGAGGCCGGCGACAGGAATCCCGTCCTCCCGGGAGCCCGCTTGGACTTACGCGGAGTCGGAGGACAGCAGGAAGCTCTCCTCACGGCCCTCGCTGTTGTGCAGCAGGGTCACCTGGAAGGGGTGTGGCACGGACGAGCTGCGGTTGCCCCCCGGCAGAGAGGGCTCCGTGGCCTCCACCTTCTGCACCTGGATGTGGTCCACCTGGGCATAGTCCTGGACCACAAAGCTGTCCTCACTGCGGAGACAGGAGGCGGGTCGCCGTGGCAGAGGGTCTGTGGCCGGCCGGGCTCCCGCCCCCACCGTCCACTGGGTCCCCACAGTGCCTGGGGACAGGCAGCCAGAAGCGGCTCTCTATCCCCCAGCCGGACAACAGAGGCCACGGGCTTGCGGGTCCTGGCGGCCGGGGGCAGGCCCGGGTCTGCAGGGAAAGCAGAGCCGCACAGCCAGACACGCCGCCCTGGTCACGTGGGGTGGGGGTGGGGTGGTGCCGAGCACCCCTGGGAGCTGCGTGTGTGTCCTGGTGGGCAGGAGAGGCTGGGCGGGTCCTGCGGTGTGCCCCCAACCCCGAGGCGCGGAGGCTCAGGCTGGCCCCCACACCCGGCTGTCCTCCAGCCCGCCCCCGCCCGCGGCCGCGGCTGCTGCCGCTCCACGAGCAGGGCCACGCGCCGGGCGCACGGCAGGCCCACCTCTTCTTCCTGGTGACCACCAGGACGTCGTTGAACAGGAACAGGTGCCAGGTGGGCCGGCTGGCGAGCTTCCGGAAAAGCCCGGGCTCTTCCGCCACAAAGAGCTCCCCGCGCTTCAGCAGCCAGCGGGAGGCAGAGATCAGCGGGAGGGACTGGGGGACGGACAGACAGACACTCAGGTCCCAGGCGGGGGCCGGCACGGGCAGCAATCCCTCCTCTGAGAACGGGGTGACCGGCGGTCCCCAGGCCCCACAGAGGCGATGCATCCCAGCCTCAGACAAAGGGCCGTTCAGCTGGCCAGCAGGTGCTGGGGGGGCAGCTCTGAGCCAGGCCTGGGCCCGCCTCCCGTCCAGCAACAGGCCAGGCCTCACCCGCCTGGGCCAGGACCAGGGGAGGTGTCCACGCGGGGTGGGGTCTGAGCCTCGGACAGGCCGTGGGCGTGGGGGGCACCGCGGGGGTCTGGGCTGCCCACCTTGACCTTGCTGAAGTCCAGCTGCGTGTGCAGCGTGTACAGCTGCTCCGTGCGCTCCATCTTGTGGGCCCCCTCGTTGCACTGCTTCACCAGCTGCAGGGCGGACGGACGGGCTGGACTGCGGCCCACCTGCCCCGGGAGGCGCCTGCCCCGCGGCTGTGCTCGTCCGCCCCGCCACGCGCGCACCGGCGGCGCCAGCTCCACTCCCGCTGGGCCTCAGTGTCCCCACGGGTGCCACGGGGAGGTCGGGATGGACCACGTGAAAACCCTGCCGGGTTCTGGTGGGGGGCCGGGTCCCGTCTCACCTTGCTGATGGCCTTCAGCGCGCGGCTGGCAGCCTTGTACCTCTCGGGGTGGCCCTGGGTCTTGAGGCAGAGCGTCTGCGGAGAAGACATCAGACATGAGACGGCACCAGTGCCCTGCTGTCCCCCAGGCCTGGTGGCCTACCTGGGGCAGGGGCGCCTTCACTAGCACTAGACCCAGGTGGGGCCTACAGGGAGGTTGAGGGCTCCAGCCAGGCCCCACTGGGGACAAAGGGCACTGCCAGGCCAGGCTGCTTGGTGGGACCTCAAGGGAGCACCCAGGACCCCGCCCCTTCCACTCTCCACCATCTATCCAGCCAGGGGAGGTCCCCTCTGGCTTGAACAGCTGACCCACCTCACACAGGACCACATGCCTCCAGGAGCTCAGCCAGGCTCCTGCCACGCGTGTGTGTGTGCGTGTCACCCTCACACGCCCCTCTGCCCCGTGAGCCAGCATCTCGGAGACACAAGCCCCGCCCCCTGAGCTCCCCTCTCCACGTCTGGGACAACTGGCCGAGGGGTGCTGTGTAGGAGGCGGCCATGGCCCAGGGCCGATGCTCAGCAGGGCCTGGGTGACGCGGGCTAAGACGCACCCACGCAACCATCAAGCGGATGATGGATAATCCACAACCGCGGGGCCGGTCCTGGCAGAGAGTTCTACGGGTGACGGCAGTGATGCTGGGACCACGTCACCCTGGGGTTACTGTCTTATCTCCGTGACTATCACATGACAGGCAAAGGTGAGGAGGGGGTCGCGGGGCGCCCGGGCAGCTGGGGGTCCCGGCCGGGTGCTCACGTCGGTCAGGAGGGGCAGCCGGGTCACCCTCTGCATGGGCAGAATCAGGAAGGAGATCATGGGGAGGCCGCCGCACGCCGGCCGCTTCTCGATCTCCCGGAGGACATCTCGGAAGGCGGCGTTGCTGCTGCTGCGAGGGAACAGGGCGGGGTGGGCGGGCTGCAGAAGCCAGGCGGGCTGCCCAAGCCGGCCGCGAGCAGGAGGCACACCGGCCAAGGTGCCGACGACCGCCCGGGCCCGCGCGGCCCCACTCACGTCAGCTTCTGCAGGGCACGCTGCTGGTACACCTCGTTGGAGCAGTAGGCCACGTAGGGGTGGAAGTGCCTCTCAGCGTGCTCCTCCAGGATGTCACTGATGTCCTCCACGCACACCTGCGCCTTGTGCCGCCGCTCCAGGTCCTCAAAGAACCTGCGGCAGGTGAGGACGGCAGCCTGAGTGCCGTGGTCACACGTGAGAGGGTGCACACGCACACACATGCATGTACACATGCACGTGCACACACATGTACACACACACGTACACACACAGACACATACACATGCATGCACACACAGACACACACACATACACACTCATGCACACACAGACGCAGAGAGACACAAACACATGCATGCACACATACACATACACATGCATGCACACATACACATGCATGCACACACAGACACACACACATACACACTCATGCACACACAGACGCAGAGAGACACAAACACATGCATGCACACATACACATACACATGCATGCACACAGATGCACACACACGGGCACACAGACACACATGCACACACACCCAGCTCAGCTCCCAGGGGCAGCACACGGCGCGCAGGTGGCCCGGAGTGGGGCCAGCACTCCGGTGAGCCGCAGCCCTCGCAGGAAAAGCCCAGGACAGACCAGCTCCTTCCATCTGAAATAACGGCACAGACCCACAGCCAAATCCACAGCCGCTCGGCTGTGCTGGGCATCACAGATGCAGACGGTAGGTCAGACCTTGTCGTTCTGACTTGACTCCTTGGCACTAGGGTTAGAGGCGCCAGGATCTGCCTTGAGCCCAGCACCCTCCGCCCTGCTCAGCGTGGGGCCTCTGGGCAGACGCCTTGGAAGTGACCGCCAGAACCCCAGGTCCCGCTGGGTCCCCTTCCGAGGCTCAGCGTCCCGGGCCTTGGCCAGGGAGATGGGGATGACATGAGCTGACCTGCGGCTGACGCTGCCCAGGGTTCCGCTCCCACAGCTGGACCTGTATCGGGTCCTGAGGTGCACAGGCCCCGGGACGTCCCACAGCCGGCAAGTGCTGCAACCCAGGCTGCATCCTGGCCAAGGCAGCTGGGAGGTCCTCCCACCCCAAGAGCCCTGTCCGAGAAGTCCCTCGCCAGGGCCTGGGCTTGTGGCTACACCCTTGCCCGCGTCTCTCTCAGTGTCCTGCGGAGCTGGCCCCTGGGCTGCACTATCTGGAGATGAGAGCTGGCTGACCTCCAGAGGGCAGAGGGCAGAGGGCAGGGGCACAGCACAGACCCGCCCCACATGGGAACCTCAGGTGGCCCACACCCCGATCAGAGAGTGACCAGCTGAGGGCCGCCAGCCCTCACCACACACCTCCAGGGGGGAGGGGAGTCAGAACTGTGACAGTGAGGTGGGGGTGGGTCCCAGGTCCCCATTTCTGAGGTCCCTGAGGGGCCTGTCATCAGTCCCACCCAGGACTTGTGGCCAGGGCCCCACCTGGGAGGAAAATGGGCCCCCCACCAACCTGTGGGCCCCCCGGCCCTCGCTCTGGTTATCCTGGCGAGGCCAGTGCGGAGGCAGGAGGGGGGATGAGGCCTCAGCCTGGGAGTGGGCAGAGGTCCCTCAGGCTGCCTGGCCATCTACCCGCAGGGGACCGCGGTTCCTTTAAGTGGGAGATCTGACAGCCCCAGCTGGTGGGCCGCCCGGGCAAACGCACAGTGTTCAGGAAACATGGGGACCCCCCAACCCCAGGAGGGGTGGGAGGCCCTGGCTGCTCAGACACGGGGCCACACACATGCACAGGCCGGCGTGCTGGCCAGCGCCTCCTGTGGGTGTGGCGAGGGCTCCTGAGGAGGGACTGGAAGGGCTGAGATGGCCCTGAGCCAGGGACCCGAAGTGGCCGGTTCCTGGGGGTGGGCTGCTGCGAAAGGCCTCGTGCCCCCGGACTGCGGCCTCCATGGGAGCCACACACCTGCTGCCCCACGGGCACGTGTGCACTCACACAACTGCCCCTCGTGCACACACGTACACACACGTGTGCAACACACACCAACACACACCTGCTGCCCCCACGGGCACACACATACAACTGACCCACTTGTGTGCACACATGTATACACACGTGTGCAATGCACACCAACACACACCTGCTGCCCCACACGGGTGCACGTGCACTCACACAACTGCTCCACACGTACACACATGTGTGCAATGCACACCAACACACACCTGCTGCCCCCACAGGCACACACATACAACTGCCCCACTTGTGTGCACAGATGTACACACACGTGTGCCATGCACACCAACACACACCTGCTGCCCCCATGGGCACACGCAAGCACACACACAACTGCCACACTTGTGTGCACACATGTACACATACATGTGCACATGTACACTAACACAACTGCTGCCCCACGCGGGCATACACATGTACTCACACAACTGCCCACCTGTGTGCACACATGTACACACACGGTCCTGCACAGGCTTGCAGCTGCACATCCAGCCCCTCCTCCACCTCCCGCCCTGCAACCAGAGCCCGGGCCTGGCACCAGACACCTCTGGGAGGAATGTGATCCAGGTGCAACCAGAGGCCACCGCCCACCGGTTCTGCCCCGTGGGTACCTCACGCTTTGCCATTTAGCCCTCTGGGCCTGAGTGTCCTGGTGGGAACGTGCCTGTCACTGGGCAGGGCCACGTCCCTTGGGAGGTGTTCCACATCTTGAATGTCAGGGGACAGTGTGCAGGTACCAGGACACCCACAGCCCTGGTGCTCAGCTGTCCCTGCGGCCACTCCTGGAGGCTGAGGGCTCAGGAGGGTCTCACACTCCCTCCCAGCAAACCACTGCTCCAAACCTCCCATGCCCAGGCCCAGACCAAGGGTCCCTCGAGCCTGGCTGTCCCCCTCACAGGGCCTGCCGCCACCGTCACAGGCCAGCGGGCGAGGCAGCCTCTTGGGCACGCAGAGGGTGGGTGTGGGCTCACTTCTGACTGGCGCTCTGCACGTCCAGGATGTTGGAGAAGAGGTGGTGGTGCTCCGTCTGGGTCATAGTGGCCCGCAGCTCCCGGGACTGCAGGAACTCGGCCACCAGGATGCCCAGGCTGTGCTGGTAGGAGAACTCGGACGTGAGGATCTCGAAAATGGCCTGGGCGAGAGGGGAGTGGTGTCGGCAGGGAGCCCCGAGCGCGGTTGGGCGAGCTGCCCGCTGCAGGAGGGCCTGGCACAAGGCGCGTCTGTGCCAAATGCTCAGGCCGTGGGGATACACCAGGCTGGGTGAGGGGACAGCCTGCAGTTCGAGCCCGCTGGACGAGCCCTGGGAAGGGTGAGAGCCCAGCCCTGGGGACATGCGCCCGGTCCTGGGGACGTGAGCCCGGCCCTGGGGACGTGAGCCCGGTCCTGGGGACGTGAGCCTGACCCCTGGGTTCGCACCCTGGCTCAGCCCACTATGAGCTGTAATCAAGGACACTCACCCCCATCTGGGAAGGGGGTAACGGCAGCTACCCTGGCCCCACCCTGCCAAGGCATCGCTATCACCCTGGTGTCTGGCCCCAGAGGTGCCAATGGGTGGGCAGGCGGGCGGGCACCACCACCATGGCCGCCGCCCCCCCTGCAGGAGGCTGGAACACAGGGCTGCACCCGCCCGGCCGCGTACCTCCTGCCTTTTGCGCTCCTCGGCGGGCAGTGTGTCCAGGATGCCCGACTCCACCACCTGCGGGCACGGCCTGGGAGTCAGGGGTCACGTGTCCTGGAGTCCTCCCTGCCGGGCACAGAGGCCTGGAGGGGGCGGGGGCCAGGCTGGCCCAGGGGAGCCACCGCCATTCTTGTGGCTCAGAGCAGGGGGACCGCTGAGCTGGCCTGTCCCTGCTCGATCCTGTCACCCAGGTCTCTCCTCTCCCCCCTGGGTAGCCCCCCGCCCCCGCAGGAGCCCTGGGGATGGGGGCTCAGAGCGGAAGACCCGAAGGCACCAGAACAGGGAGGGGGTGGACAGGGCCACCTGGGAAAGCTGAGGGGTGCTGGGGGCAGGGCCGGGGCTCAGGCACACCTGGGCCAGGTGAGTCAGCGCCTTGCCCAGGAGGCTGGGGTGACACTGTTCCAGCACGGGGCCCCGCCCCAGCTCCCCACACCGTCTGGGCCGTGGCCTCAGGCTGCCCTGGGTGGTGTGGCTGTCAGCACGCAGGCCTGCGGTGTCCCTGCAGAGCCTGCCAGGACAGGCCGGGCTGTCCCCCTGCCTGGGGCACCCCTCTATAGGGCGCAGGGCCACCGCATTCTCGTCCCCTCCCACTGGGCTGGGCAGTGCTAACCCCCATGCCTCATCCTCTAGCCCAGGCTGGGCCGGGACCCCAGCTCGGGGCCTGGGGTCGGAAGCTCTGGCAGTGGGTTGAGGGTGACACGTCCTGACCTCCCCCAACCCAGGTCACGCACACCCGGCTCCCGGAACGCAGCTGGGACCGGGCAGTGGGAATGCACTTCCCTTTCCATCCACCGGCCCTCACCCCCACCGGCCCTCACCCCCACCAGGCTCTCCCTGGCAGGCAGACAGTCAGGGCCAGAGAGGACACGCCCAGTGCCCGCCCACCGTGCCCACCGCCTGCAGCCCAGCTCCATCCCTGCGCTCTGCTCCGGGGATGGAGTCAGGGGTCTGCCCCTTGGGATGTGCCCTCCTGGGGTAGTGAAGCTGCCTCCCTGCATTTGCTCCGAGCCCGGAGCCTCACCCCTGGCTGGCCGTCGAGGCCCCCCATCCCGATGTGGGGTCGGGCGCTGTGGAAGCCGAGGCCTGGCTCCAGCCCCACTCCCTCCCGCCTCCCCAGAAGGTCCCCAGTACTGTCCTGGACAGGGCGCTGGGAAGGGGTCCTCGGTGCCCACACCTTTCTGCAGGGCAGTCTGAGCAGGAAGCAGACAGCACGGGGCTCACGTGGGGTGCCCGCTGCATGTGCACAGGGGCATGCGCCCCTCCCTCGCCCCACACCACCAAGGTGCCGCGCAGGGCAGGGCAGCTCTGAGGGCACCAGGAGGCAGATCTCGGCTGCAGGCTGGGCATCTGGGGGAGCCCGGGACAGCTGCCCTGGGCTGACCACCATGGGCTGGGGGAAGGGCCTCACCCCACCAGCTGGGCCCTACCTCCGGGAGCTGGCTCCAGGTGACCTGGGGGGCCCGGTAGTTCTTGACCACGATGGGGGTGTCCACCTTCCGTGTTCCCTCGGGCTCGTCCAGCAAGTCGTCGTCAGACTCCTGGCTGGTGTTCAGGCCCCGCTCCCGGATCTCCTGATAGAACCGGGGGTCTGGGGAGAGGGGGTGCACCACCCGTGTGCCTGGAGGCTCGGAGTGGGCCCGACCCCCCCAGAACCCACGGGCCGAGTCCTCCCGAGAAGCCCCTGAGGACATCAGTGCTCCAGGGCTGGCTCCCCGCCGGCCGGCTGGCCAGCCCAGGACAGGGTGGCACCACGTCCCGGTGCAGAATGTGGCACCTTCGGACCAGGCTGAACTGACAAATCGGAGCGCACAGGGGCACACAGGGGCCCTGAGCACACTGGGGGGGGGGGGGCGGTCCCCAGGCTGGGCCAGGAACCCTCAGACCAGGGCTGTTTCCTGCTCCCACGCTGCAGGCCCCCTGGGACAGGCTGGCCTGCCCTCTCCCCTCGGGCACCTCAGCCTGCAGCAACCCCTCCATGCCTCCCCCTCCCCCTTCCTCCGAGTCCTGGGGCAGGGCTCTGGGTCCTGACACCTGCATCCTAGCCCAGCCAACCAGAGGTCCGGGCTGGCACGGAGGGGGGCCCATCCTGGCTGGAGCCCTGTGTCCTCAGAAGCTCAGGACGGGCATCGAGGCCCCAGCCCTCCCCAGGCCTTGATGGCCCCATCCTCAGGCCTCCTGGGTACTCCATCCTGCCTGGGCAGGCACCCCAGCCCTTCCCAGTGGGGTCCTGTTGGCACCCCACTCCTCCGCAGGCTGACTTCTCCCTCCTGGGCCCTCCTGAGCCCCACCCCTGCCAGGCTCCCCGTGGATGGGCAGACGGACAGACAGGCCGCACCGTGGGGCCTTGGCCCCAGCACGACCCCCAGGGGCCCACGCACACACGGGTGCTTGATCATCTTTCCTGGGGTGAGCAGGGGCTCTGTCTGTCTCCCGCCCCTGCGACAGTGTGGAGGGAGCCCCGTAAGTGCCCAGGCTTCTCTAGAGCCGTCAGAGCTACCTGCTCAGATGGCCACCAGGACTTCTGGTCCCTGCAGGGATCCCCTCCAGCAGGGTCTCTGTGCCCCTCCCCCCAGGGCAGCCCCGGGAGACCAGCCTCCCCCAGGGTCCGCCCAGCCCACGGCCACTGCCGAGGTCCACTCACCGTCCTTGAAGGAGCCCTTGTGTGCGCGTTTCCGGCTCAGTATCTTCTGTGCAAACGAGACACAAACCCCAGTGGTCAGCAGGGAGGAGGGCGGGTCACCGTCTAGACAATTCCTTCACCCGGGGACTCGGAGACCTCCCAGCTCCATGTGCGACACCACGCCCAACACAGATGGCACTCGATAAATGCTGGCTCCCGAGGAACACGGGGCCACCAGGTGGAGGCCAGGGCAAGCCTCCAGAGCAGTCAGGGCAGGTGACTGAAGGCTGGGCAGATCCGGGAGGGCTGCCTGGAGGAGGAGGCAGGCCTGAACTACTTAAGAGGAGATTCTCAGGAAAGTAGGGTGTTCTCACTCGGGGACGCCCAAGGCAGGACAGGTGGGGTTGGGAGAGGGCCAGGAGCGGACTGCGGTGGGAGCGGGGACTCCACACAGGACCCCACAGAAGGGTGGCCCAAGATGGCAGGAAGAACAACAGGGTGAGTATCCAGCCCCACACGGGCCTGGAGCCCAGCAGCTGTGCCAGGGCTGCGGAGCTGCCTGCTCGGAGCCTGTGCCTTGGCTGGGATACCCCATTCTTCCTGACCCCACGGCCGCCCTGTTCCAGGAAAGTGGGAGCTGGCTTCTCCCGACGAGCTGGGGCCTGAAAGTTCTCCTTCCTGGTCTGGAACGTGGGTGCTGCCCGCTGCCCCTGGCCTGCTGCCCCGCCCCCCGTCTGGTGTCTCTCCAGTGCCCTCACCCCTCCTCCGCCTAGCACCCGCCCTCTGTCCACACCTCCATGTTAACCCTCTCCTTCTGGGCCCCCAGGTCCTGGGACTTGGGGAGCCCCTCCTGGGTGCCCCCAGGTCCCTGAGCATCCCGGGCGCCCTCCTGGGGCCTGACCACTGGGATCACCTCCGTACCCAGCACTGAGCACCAGGGACATGCTCACTGAGCACATGAATCAACAGAATGAATGATTCGACCCCGCAGGTCTGGCCCGTCCTGGGTGGGGCGCTGAGGGCCCGAGGCAGTGTCTGGGGTCTGGCATCTCAGGTAGGCATGGTAGTGGGCAGTGCCCACCTCCCAGGCCTGGGGCATCCTCAAACCCAGGGCGGTGGTACGGCCCCCTGCCGTGCCCACCTGCACCCGAGCGCTAGCTTTCCCGTGAGTCTGGGCAGGAGCCCCACGCAGAGAAGCATGGGGATGGCAACCTGGGCTCAGAGCGCCCCGGGTGCGGTGCCAGCCCTGTGCCTGTTCTGTTCTCTCCAGAGGTCACACTCTGTCAGGTGCTCCAGAGCTGGGGGGCGTCCCGAGCTGTGTGCCCGCCCGAGTCCCAACAGGAGCCTCTGGGGCAGTGAGCCCAGGCCAACGACTGCGGCGAAGTCACCCCTGAAACCGTCCTTGAAGGAGCTGGCTCCGGGGCTGGGCCCCCCAGACTGCGCCCGCTGTGCCTGAGAACGAGACTCCCAGTGCGGGCTGCTGCGTAAAACCCCGGCCCTCTCTGGGCCTCAGCTGCCTCGTCTGTGACATGGGGACACTCAGCCTGGTCCAGTCTACGGAATAAACTGTCAGGGGCCTGCACACGGCAGGTGCTCGCTGAATGGCAGCGGCAGGACGGGATGTGCCGGTCAGGCCCCCCAACCCCGCTCCGGGCCCCTGCCCCCCACTCGGGGCCCCGCCGCCCCCCGCTCTCCGACCCTGTCCAGGCACACAGGCCCCTACCTTATTTTTGGCCGCATTCCGAGCTGGAGGCTGGGTGGACTCCTCGGCCAGAGCGTGGAGCTTGGGGCTGAGATGAACGGGGGCCACCTCGCCACCCTGCACCCCCAGGCCCTTCATGGCCGCTCGGTAAGACTGGCTTCTCAGGTTCCGCGTCAGCGTCCCCCCCGGGCCCACGTCCATGTCGTCCAGGGAGAAGCTGGGGGCCGCGAGGAGCCGGGGGTCCCGCCGGGCGGCCTCCTTGGTGAGCACGGCTGCCCCGAAGCTCTGGTGGCGGGCCGGGGTCTTGGTCTTGCTGGACACGGCCAGGCTCCGGGGGATCAGCTGCTCGGTGCCCTTCTTGAGGGCCACGGGGCTCTGCGTGCTCAGGATGACAGTCCGCGGCCCCCTGTCCTCGGGGGGCGAAGGCTGGGGTTCCGGGGTGTCATGCTGGAAGACGGCATTGCTCCTGCCCTGCAGGGGCCCCCGGACCAAGGGGAGCCCGGACTCGGGGTTCCCCTGGGCATCCAGCCGCAGCTCGGAGTGGAAGCGGCTTTCCAGCAGCTTGTCCTCCAGCGAGCTGTCCGAGTGCCGGTGGGACATGTTGGGCGGCCGCAGTCCTGGGGGGACAGGGTCGAGGTGAGGCCCGGAGCAGAGCCGCCCGGCACGTGGCCACAGGCTCTGGGCTGCCCGGGAGGTCAGAGCGCAGCGGCCGGGGTGTGCGGGAGGGGGGGGGTGCAGGGAGGGCGCGGGCTCGGCCCTTTGGGCCCCGGGCAGAGCGCAGGAGGCTGGTTTTCTGAACTCCAGGGCCCAGGTGGGAGCAGCCTGCCGTCGGGCTGGTCCAGCGAGGCCACCTCTGGTCTGCACACGGAGGACAAAGCCCTGAGCTGGGGGTGTAGTGTGGGCCGTGTCGGGGTCCTGCGATGGAACCAGCCATGGGCCCACCAGCATCGGCCCACCTCACGCACCCCCTCCCCGTGCTGGTCTGGGGGCTGCCCTGGGGGTCCCCAGCCTGGGAGCAGGAACCCTCACAGAGGGGAGGCTGGCAGAACAGGCCGCGCGGGCCGGTCTCACCCACGGGTCAGCCCCGGTGTGGGCACCCGGCAGCCTGGCTCCCGCTCAGCTCTCAGGTTCTCGGCGAAACCACCCAGGAAGCAGGCAGGGCCGTGCCTCCCCGCGCCGGGAGGGCCACCCACGCATTCCTGGGGACATTCCCAGTCGGCGGGCGGGGGCGGCGGCCGCCACACCAGCCCTCCCCGGGCGGGTGCATGAGCGCCATCCCAGGTCCCCGCCCCATGCTCGCTTTTCTGCCCTTTACCCAGGCCTGGCCGAAAAGCGGGGTTCAGACTTTGACCTGTCAGCCTGCCCCTGAAACAAAATGCACCCGTGTGAGCAGCTGGAGGCCTCTGGAGCGTGAGCCCTCACCTGACCGTGACGTGTTCACACGACGAGGAGCAGGCACCGTGGTCTTGCCCCCGAGCGCCCCCCGGCGCCCCGTCCGCCTGCTCTGCTTCCTCCCGCCCAGGGCTGACTTCCCGCCTCCTGAGCTGGCCGGGCTCCTCCAGGAGGGCAAAGTCTGCTCGAGAGGAAGTGCCCGGATGGAACCAGTCGGGCCAGCGCTGCAGGGTGTGACCTCGGTGCCCAGCAGGCGGCCCCACCCCCGGGCCTGGGCACCTGCTGTGGGGACCCGGGACCCGGGACCCGGGACCCGGGGCCTGCGGGAGCTCCAGGCTCGAGCTGCGGCCTCTGGTCTCCACGGCTTAGCTGCCCCAGGGCTACCCGAGCGCAGGTCAGGCAACAGCAGCAAAGACAGGTGTCCCCTCCTGCTGGGCTGTCCCCACAGGCCTCCACTATGGGCTCTCGAGTGTCCCCTAATTTCTTTTTTTTTTTATCCTCACCTGAGGACATTTTTCCATTTTTTGTCCAGACAGAGTGGGAGGGAGGAGGGGGGAGAGAGAGAAACATCCACGTGAAAGGGACACATCGAGTGGTTGCCACCCACACGACCCAACCAGGGCCGGGGACAAACTGCCACCGAGGTCCGTGCCCTTAGTGGAACCGGACCCGGGTCTCTCCGGACTGCAGGCCGACGCTCTAACCGCTGAGCCAAACTGGCCAGGGCTCGAGTGTCCCATAATTTCTAACTCAGGCACAGCTGCTCTGTGGAGACCTTACTGCAACCGTCGCCCCCTCTCTGGCCGTGGGGCCGGGGCCCCAGCACCCACAGTGATCCCGAGGTTTGTGCGGACCTCGCTGACCCCACACCTCCCTGTGAATAACGCCCTCTTGTTCACCAGCAGCGACCCTCCTGGTGACCCCCCCAAGCCCCCCGCATCTCTGCCTGTGCGTCTGCATCATGCACGGTCAGCGCACCTGCCCCAGGCACCCCCCAGGCCCTGTCCTCTCCCAGGTCCCTCCCGCCCTGGGGCTGAGCTTGGCCATCCGGGTCCTCCCTGCTGCTTCCCTCTGTCGCTCCGCCCTCTTGGCCTTCAAAGCAGTGTCCGTCCGGAGGAAGATCTCTGACCGGAATGTCTTCTCCTTCCCCTGGGCTGCTGGTGCTCAAGATCCCATTGGGGGTTTGCTTCCAGAACGGAGAATCCCACCCGCCTCCTTGGAGTCTGCCCGAGGGGGCGCTCCTGGTCTGAGGCTCCGGGGACACGCTCCGCGGGACGGATCCAGGTTCACTCCAGGCCACATCCCAGGGAGCCCCTCCGACGCCCGCCTCGGCCCAGCCGGCGTCCGGGGCTGTTTCCTGGGGAGTCCCTTGCACCTGCCTTTCCTCCCGTCGGTTTCCGGGAGGCCCCCTGGCGAGCTGGAAGCTAAGTGACGTCCGAAGTCAGACATTCCTTCGTTTTCCATCTGTCTTCCTCCGTGGGCAGCCGGCACCGTCCGCTCCTGCCGGGCCTCCCCAGGTGCTCGGCCGTCTCCTGGGTGCAGAGAGCCCCCCTCCTGCCTGGCCTCCACAGCACCTGTTCTTGCTCTGTGGACGCCCCGTGTCTACGTGTGTCCTGTCAACGTGGGACTCAACTCCTGTCCTCGGCCCGACCCCCCGCTCAGCTTCCGTCAGCCCTGCTCGCGGGCACCGGGCTTCCCCCACCACCACGGGGGATGTCCCGCTGGCCGCTGCTTAGGAGACAGGCGTGGGGCTGGTGGGAGGCCCACGTGCCCGGTGCACATGCACACACGCGAGCACACACATGTGAGCACATGCTTCAGCCTGGCAGGCTCTTTGGGACCCCTCTGCCCTTGCGGTGTCCCCACTGGCAACCCCTCCTTGGCGGGTGGGACCTAGAGCCCGCCCCTCGGTGTCCTGCCTGGATGCTGGCCCTGCCCTGGTGCCTGGGAGCCAGCACAGCACAGGGTCCGAGAGCACAGACCCCTCAGCTGCCCTCGGGGCCAGTGCCAGCCACGCTGTCCGGGCAACAGCTGCTGAGAGAGCCCAGCCGCCCTGCCGCACCCACGGGTCACGGGGTGGGTCTGTCCCCCGCAGAGGCAGCCCCGGGAAGCTCCTCCAGAGAGGCCACGGCCGCGAGGGCTGCAAGCTGTTTGCCCACCAAGTCTGTGGGCCCTTCGGGAACGGACGATTTCCTGCTCACGTCCCCAGCCTAGCTCAATGCCCCAACCAACAAGCGAACGCGGGGTGTCACGGGCACCTGCTGCGTTCCGGGCCTTGCCTGGGGCCGGCGCCCCCCCTGGGAGGCCCTGCTGCCGGTGCAGAGAGCTCGCCCAAGTGGGCACTTGGCTTCAGGTCAGCAGAGACCCCCCAGAGCTGCCTCACAGAGGCTGAGGTCAGCTGTGCCCAGTTTTGGGTGACCTTTGGGTGACTTCCTGCTGCTTCTGCTTAGGGCATTCATTTTCCCTCTGCCACCACCAGCCGCTGCATGCCCACGGCACACATTCGGGGAGGGGGAGGGACACGAGGGGCTGAGGAGGAGGATGGGGTCTGGGGGCAGCGGGTGGAGCTGGCGAGGTCTCTGGATAGCCTCCCCTCAGCCTCGGGGCCCTACTCAGCCTGGTCAGTCCTAAGCTGCGCTGCCCCCTCCCTGGCCCGGTGGGCCCCTTGCCGCCCAGCCAGGTGCTCTGACTCCCCGTCCCTGACAGACGGGCTTCCCAGGACCCCCGCAGGCCCCCCCCCCTCCCTTGAGAAGCACAGTATGCCTGGGTCTGGGCCCTGATCGCGGCTGCTCCCACAGCCTCCGGATCCAGTCACACCCAGGTTGGGACCTGCAGCCCCTTGGATCAGGGCACCCTGCGACCTCCACCCTGGGACACCCCGTCCCCTCTGCCCCGACCCCTAGGCCTGGTGGGTCTCCGCCTCCCCTGCACCGTCTGCCGGCCCAGGTCTGTGCTCGGACAAACCCAACCCGCAGTGATGGCCTTGTGTTCGGGGTTCTGCCTGGCCGAGCTCAGGACGTGGTGTCACACAGAGTTAAGGGGCAGGATTTGGCTTTGTAACCCATGAAGCACAAGACGCCCCGCCAAGGACACGCTGGGGACAAATGTCCATGGAGCTGAGGCAGACAGACCGGAGCTTAGCTGACCAGAGTCACTCTTCATGGTGGGGTCTGGGGAGACCACCTGGCCACGCCCAGCCTCGGACACAGCCTGGCAGCAGGGAGGGGCAGGGAGGGGCAACAAGGTACCTGTGACACCTGCAGGGACCAGCCATGGTCACAGACAACACTGCCGTCCTGGCCACTGCAGTGCCCACACCCCCAGGCCCACCTGTGCCTGCTCCTGGCTCCCGTGTCTGCACCCAGACATCCCATAAACCTGGCTCCTGGCTCGGGCTCGGCCGGGACACACTGTGTTCCCCCAAAGCAGCCCCAGGCAGGAAATCGGAGCCCGATGCCGGCAAGGAGCCTGGACAGGTGACCAGCAGGTGCTCCAATGCTCTCTGGCCCTGCAGCTCCCATGTCACAAGTGGGGAAACCGAGGCCCAGAGGGCTTGACTTACTGGCCTTTGTTCACAGGGAGGCAGGATCTGAACCCGGGTCTCCACTTAGCTCTAGGCCACCGGGGTGTCCGGGCAGCCAGGCGTGCAGGGCCCCCCAGCTGGGCCCACAGGTGCCATGACCGGCGGGGCATTGGCTGGGCCCCGCTCTAGGTGGATTCAGGCCGGTCACCTCCAGGGCGGGAGAGATTCAGGCCTGCTGGGCCCGAGGTCAATGCCCAGGTCGCCGCACCTGCCCTCAGTCATCACGCCCCACCCCCAGCCAGGTGCTGGGCTGAGGTCCACCCAAATCTCAAAAAGATCCTTTAAGAAACGGAGGCCGGGCAGCCAAGACAGGTTTCAGAGCTGCGGCCCCCCCTTTCTTATCCAGGCGGATAGGACCCCTCCCTGCGCTGGGTCCCCCAGAGCGGGGGTCTTCACTCCAGGGGCCGCCAACTCCTGGGGCCAAAGCGAGTTTGGGCAACAGATTCCCCCGAGCTGCAGGGAGGGTCCTTCGGTGCCCCCTGGGGCTCCCTCCCTAAGACTCGCTCTGATATCAGCCCGCTCCGGGGTTCGACTAGGGCGGGAGGGTTCCCCTGGGACTCAAGGGGGGCAGGGGCGGCACCCCTGGGGCCCGGGCTCCGCCTCCTCCCGCAGCCCGGCGGCGGGCACCCCAGGGAGAGGAGGCGGAGTTCCGCAGACCCAGGGGGCTTTCGGGGAGAGCGAAGGGGCGCAAGGGCGCCCCCAGGTTCCTGCCTCCGCCCCAGGCGGACGCCCCCACCTGTCCCCCGGGCTCACCTGTGCGCCGGGCTCCCTGCGCCGCAGACGGGGACGGGCGGGGCCCAGCCTGCAGGCTCCGCGCCCTCCGGGCGGCCTGGCGGCTCGAGCTCCGCGGCCGCTCGGTCCCTCCGGTCCCCGCCCTCCCGCTTCCTGCGCGGCCGGCCCGGGGGGCGGCGGGGCGGCGGGCCGGGCGGCGGGAAGGCACGGCGGGCACACCTGGTGGCCGCGCCGCCTGCGTCACCGGCCCTACCTGGCCGGCGCTGTTCACGTGACCCACGGCTGGCGAACTCCCGCCCCGGACCTAGGCGTCTTCGGACTTGGGGCCGGAGTCCGCCGCTGGCGCCCTGGAGGCCGCGGCCCCGGGACCGTGCACCCCGCCCCTGCCCCTGCGGGCGTCGCCTCCGGGATGGGCCCAGGCCAGGCCTCCCTCCTGCAGCCTGGAGCAGCCCCTCTCCGAGGCCGGCCCCGCTGCTCCCTCCTCCAGGAAGGCCTCCCGGAAGCGGACTGGCCCGCGGGACTCTGGCAGAAATGGCCCCACCTTGCGGGCAGCCCAGACGCACAGAGCAGTCCCAGCCTTAGGGTCACCGTACCACCACCTCTTTCTATGCCAGGACCCCGAGGCCTGGAAAGGAAGGTGCAGCCTGCTCAGACTGAGCCTGGACTCCAAGCTTGGCCTGTCCAGGACTTGTCCAGGGGTGTCCCTTGCACAGAGGCTCTGACACCCCACAACTGGGGGTTCGGGAATTGGGCCCCCTGGT